CTGCAGTTAGGCCCTTAACAGAGGGTAGCTACTTTATTAATAAGATGGGATATAGGAGGTTACCAGCTCTGTCCACCAAAACTTTTCAGAGATACCCGAAACACCACCACTGGCATCATTATGGTTTAAGGCAGGGGATGGAATGTCGAGGTATAAAAAGTCCTGGTTTTAGAATAGGTCAACATAATAGAAACTCTTCATGGCCAACAGAACCCTGTATTGTAAAACAAAACAATTAGATAAATTTGGAAAATGTCAGTGCAACCTCATAATCGTAAAAAGAAACATTTTCCCCAGTAATTTAGTTCCGTCAGTACTAAAATGGGCCTTAAACAACAAGGTTGTACTGTATAGCACAGGAAACTATATTCAGTATTCTGTGATAAACCATAATGGAAAAGAATATGAAAAAGAATGTATATATATGTATAACTGAGTCACTTTGCTGTACAGCAGTAATTAACACAAAACTGTAATTCAGCTATACTTTAATAAAAAATAAATTAACAAAACAAAACAAATAAAATGGGCCTAACAGTAGGCACAGCACTTTAGCCTACTACCAACACTCATGCCCAGATAGCCTGCCGTATACCTCTCCACTAAAACAACCCAGGGCTCCTCGGAGACAAGCCAATATCGTATCTAGGGACAGGACAAAAATGAGGACAATCTGAAACGCCTGTTGTTGCCATACAGCACGAATGACTCCACAAACATCAGGAACCCTGCTACACGGGTGAGGGAGGTAATGCAGAACTCTCCGCAGCTGAGCTGTGATACTCCCAATCCAAAAATGGGCAGAAGACCTAAATAGACTTTTCTCCAAAGAAGATATACAGACTGCCAACAAACACATGAAAGAAGGCTCAACATCACTAATCATTAGAGAAATGCAAATCAAAACTACAGTGAGATATCATCTCACACCAGTCAGAATGGCCATCATCAAAAAATCTACAAACAGTAAATGCTGGAGAGGGTGTGAAGAAAAGGGAACACTCTTGCACTGCTGGTGGCAATGTGAATTGGTACAGCCACTATGGGGAACAGTATGGAAGTTCCTTAAAAAACTACAAATAGAACTACCATATGACCCAGCAATCCCACTACTGGGCATATACCCTGAGAAAACCATAATTCAAAAAGAGTCATGTACCAAAATGTTCATTGCAGCTCTAGTTACAATAGCCCGGAGATGGAAACAACCTAAGTGTCCATCATCGGATGAATGGATAAAGAAGATGTGGCACATATATACAATGGAATATTACTCAGCCATAAAAAGAAACGAAATTGAGCTATTTGTTATGAGGTGGATAGACCTAGAGTCTGTCATACAGAGTGAAGTAAGTCAGAAAGAGAAAGACAAATACCGTATGCTAACATATATATGGAATTTAAGGAAAAAAATGTCATGAAGAACCTAGGGGTAAGACAGGAATAAAGACACAGACCTACTAGAGAATGGACTTGAGGATATGGGGAGGGGGAAGGGTAAGCTGTGACAAAGCGACAGAGAGGCATGGACATATATACACTACCAAACGTAAGGTAGATAGCTAGTGGGAAGCAGCCGCATAGCACAGGGAGATCAGCTCGGTGCTTTGTGACCGCCTGGAGGGGTGGGATAGGGAGGGTGGGAGGGAGGGAGACGCAAGAGGAAAGAGATATGGGAACATATGTATATGTATAACTGATTCACTTTGTTATAAAGCAGAAACTAACACACCATTGTAAAGCAATTATACTCCAATAAAGATAAAAAAAAAAACTAGGAGGAGAAGGAAAAAATTATTGTGGGAGCAAGGTGAGTCTGAGAAATGCCTTGTGTTCATGATGTCACTCAAAAGGAAAGTTAATATAAAGTGTAGAGAAAGATAACAAAGATGACAATATGTTACAACTTGTCATCAACTTTTAAAAGTAGGAAGCATTAATATATAAGATGATGTAGTTTCTTTTATAGAGTGTTAATTACATGTTTGTTTATAAGATTTCTGTGTTGAGTAGTAAAGAATAACAAAAGGAACTTTAAGTCAGGTCGTCCCAGGACTTGAGGGCCCTTGGAAGGGCTGCTTGGCATTGGTGGTCATACAACAAGCAGGTGGAAAGAGGGGCAGACATTCACTGGCATCAGTGGTCACACACAGTTAGCAAGGAGTCAGTCAGCAGTGTGTTTGTAACATCATAAACTACTCACACAGCCTGAAGAGGAAAACCAAGTACCCAAACTCAACCTCATCTCCTAGGAGGTGAAATCTCTACCTAGTCTGACAAAGAACGGGAAAATATTAATAAGGAATGCATACTTTTTAATAGTGCTAAAGATAGGTCAATGCTTCCCAATGATCAGGGGTCCTGAGTTTGAATCACCTTGAAGCTACCTAGTCCTACATTGTAAAGCAAGAATTGTGTCCGTCCAAGAATTGGCATCCTCTAACCTTAGCTATTCGGAGAAGGTATTCCATGTCCTTTGAATCTAAAAGATCACTGCATTTGTCTGGAAAGTGTCAAAATGATGTTAACTAAGGGAAATTGGCCTTCGGAAGATACTAAAAACCAAGAACACAAACAATGAAGAAATAAATTAAACCCAAGATACTTAATATTTTAGAATAAGTTAAAGTGCAAATGTATTATCAAATCTTGACATTTTGTCTATGTTTTATCTGCTGTTTAAGGTGGATGATCAAAAGGAATTAGTCATTCTAAATTTGTAGTAGAATTTAAATAGTCTAATCAACCAAATTTATAATCAATGTTTAAATGCTCAAGGAATGATGGTTTTCAAACCATTTTTGAATGGCTTATTGGATATACATAGCAGACACAGCCAGACGCACCCATATGCTCTGGACACTCACCATTTCCTGGCATGCCACTTGTGACTCTTTCCCTGGGGCTTCCTCTGCCCCCTGGAGCCCAGTTGGCTCTGCCCAGAGCAGGCCAGAATTGCCACACACCCCCAGGAGCCGCCCTCACCAGCTACTGATGGGAGTTAATGGATAAATGCCCTAGCTTTCTGACCTTTTGGTAAGGGTAACTCAGAGGCCAGTGCACATCATCTTCCAGAGATGCCCAGGGTAAGGGAGCAGCAGCTTTCCACAGTGGTAACCTCTGTAAGGCACCCATTATTGGCCTTCGACCTTTCCCTGACTCATTTCTCCCCTCTCCCACTGGGGCTTCCTGGGATCACCTCCCAAATAAACTAGTGGACTCATATCCACATCTCGGAGTCTGGGCAACCTAAACTAAGAAAAGAAAGGAATTTAATAAGATTAAACAAAGCACACGTATGTGTAAGGAAGGCTCTTCTCAATGCAGAGTACCCCTTGGACATTTCCTAATCTCCCAGGAGGCCTGAGTAGCACAGCCAGGGGAAGGGGAGAGGGGTGGGCACTGTCTTGGGTAACCTGCTGCCTCTCCTGTTGGCGTCTCTTTTCTCCCTCCTGGAACCAGACTCTCTTGGGACCCATGACTTTCACCAGGACACTCACTCTCTGACTCTCACTGGGAAAGTATGATTCCTCCCACAGAGAGCTGTGATTTCAGAGGGCAGTCTTAGAAACAGAAATGTCCATTCATAAAGCTGGAGGTGGACTCAGTGACTGCAGAGGGGAAAACAGTGGGACAAGACAAGTGTCCACTTACTCAGCTGTCAGGACACTGAGATTCCTGGGCTTTGAGTCTGCTGCCAGGTCCCCATGGGCCACGAGGGACTTCTGCTTACGACTTTTATAGGCAGCCCCACCACCACACAGAGTAAAGAATGACACTGCTCCCCATCCCTACAAACATGGTGGTTAAGAGCTCAGGCTTACCCATTTCTAACAGTCACCTTGGGCAGATTCCTTAACATCCCTGAACCTCAGTTTCTCCAGCTACAAAATGGAGGAAACATAATCTAACTCATAGGGCATCGCTCTTAATAAAGAGAAAATGATGGGGTGCTTAGGCACGTCAGGCACTTTGTATGCACTCTCATCGCACGAACACACAGGCAGGTACAGTTTTCATCCTCAATTTCTAATTCTAAGAAACTTACCTAGGGTCAGCCAGCTAATAAGCAGATCTAGCATTCAAATTTGGGCAAGTCTGATTCCACTCTTAACCTCTAGGTTATACAAAAGATATGCAAAGTAAAAGTGCCCAACACACACTAGGAGCTTAATGACTGTCATTACTTTCCTGTCTTCTTCTTTTATTATTCTCTCCTGGGCTGTCTCTCACCCGGGAGGGACTACAAGCGGGGCACAGACAAGGAGAGATTCACGGAGGCTCAAAAGGAAGAGGCTCAATGCCAAGTTCTTAATAAATAGTCTTCAGAGAAAACAGAAGGCTTCCCCTTCTAGTAACACCGAAGCTTTTAAGGTTCTTCCAACTTCATAATTTCCTTCCCTAGAACCTCCACAAAATCCCCAAAATGCCTTTCAAAAGACCAGAAAGTCAGGAATACTAAATATCTTAAAAGTTCCAGGTGAAATTAAGTCACCTGGAATGAGGAGTCCGTCTCTCAGCCTGGCTCTGGTATTAAGTTGTGTGACCTTGAGAAAAGCCACCTGCCTTCTCTGTGCCTTTTTTCTTTTTCTTTTTTTTGGTTAACATGGAGATAATAATCCTTGTCTTGCCTTGCTTAAAGTTGTTGAGAGGATCATTGAGAAATGTATGTGAAAATACTTGGCAAATTATAACATACAACACAGATGTGGGGAGTTATCAGTGTTCATCAACAGCTTATCAGACTTGCTAAGAAAATTCCTGAATAAGAGAAATGGGAGCCAAAAAGCAGAGGTGAGCAGCAAGGGGGAATGAGGAGAGTCAGATGGTAAAGAAAAACTAGCTGTCAGAACCTCATTTTCAGTGTTGGCAGTTAACCTTCAATCAATTTTATAAGGCCAGGAAATAGCCATATTTTTAATTAAGTGTCGGTGGTAGGCTCAGCAACATAAAATTTAATGATAGGGAAGACCCCAGCTTAAAGAAACACAGCTTCTTACCTCTCCTTCTAAGAACGATATCTTTTCTAAAAGCTGCAATATTAAGAGCTGTTTCTGCTGCACCTTTTTCTTTAGTGATTCAATCTAGAAAGAAACAAATTGGAAATTGTTATCAAAAATGCAGAATTTGTACAAGTTAATCAACTGGAAGAGAAGCCTTTGGTTTTCATTCAAATAGAAACTACACATTGGTTCTTTTGTGTTCCGTGGAACGGTATGAACATGAGGTGCTTCACGGAGGCAGAGCGGGGGGGTTCTGTGCCCAGGTATGCTTGGGACATCATACGTGGTTGTGGAGTTGTTTCATTAGGTCTGTTTAGCCTAACATTTCTGCACTGATTCTGCCGTGTAACCCTTAGTAACATCCCACCGATGCTTTGGGAAATGCAGACATAACTCTACATAAAAAAATTATTTCACTTGAATTTATGCAGCAGCCTGCATTTCAGACATTCTGCTCTGCTGTTCCTGTTCGTATATTCATATTTGTTGAACCACGTGTCAAAAGTTTTGCTCTGGGAAAAAGGTCACTGTCACTGAAAGTAATAATGAAATTCAGAGGACTGAGGACTCACGTGGCCTGGGTTAAGCAGGGAAGGCTTCTGAAAGACAGAGACTTGAGCTGCGTTTTCACCTTTGTTTTTATACTATATCTATCTTGGACTACTCTAACTTTGTTTTTCACTCACATATCATGTCTCCACAGACACATCGTAGGTTCCCTAAAAGCAGGAACCAGGGTGCTCTCTACCAGGCTATGTCTTGGGCAATAGTGGGAACAGTGTGTAGGTTCGATAAATAACATGTGATTTTGAAGAATGCACTAATTTTCCAACAACCTTTCATATGACATTTGAGCAACTGCAAAATCTTTTTTAAAAAATCCCTCTCTGTGCAAAATGACACAATTCGTATAGAAGGGACTCTAGCAAATAACTAAAAGAAGTACAAGTAGGGACTTCCCTGGTGGCACCGTGGTTAAGAATCTGCCTGCCAACGCAGGGAACATGGGTTCCAGCCCTGGTCCGGGAAGATCCCACATGCCGCAGAGCAACTAAGCCCGTGCACCACAACTACTGAGCCCGTGCTCTGCAACCAGAGAAGCCACTGCAGTGAGAAGCCCACGCACCACAACGAAGAGTAGCCCCCGCTCACTGCAACTAGAAAAAGCCCATGTGCAGCAACGGAGACCTAACGGCAGCCAAAAATTAATTAATTAATTTCTTTAAAAAAGAAGTATACAATTACATTTAACCTTTGACCCAGCAACTCCACTTCTAGGAATAGATCCCAAAGAATCATTAGCCAAAATATGAAATGACTTGGACACAGGATTTTTGTTTTTAGAAAACACACACACAAAAGCAGAACTCCATCAATAAGTGCCTGATAAATAAACTATGGTTCATCTTAACAATGGATGCCTATGTAACCTTCAAGAAAAAATGAAGATCTCTAAAACCCTGATACGATATATTGTAAGGAGTAGATGGTATGCTGGCTTTGGTGTAAAACTGGTGAAGACATATGAATGAATATATATTTGCAAAATGAAACACTGCAAAGATCAAACAAATCTTAATGTTTACCAACAGGGAGAGGGAGGAAATTAGATGGAGGAGACAGAACAGAACAAAGACTTTTGTGATAATACCTTGTTACATAAGTTCAATTTTGAAAGCACATTTTACAGATTCAAAAAATAAAAACCAAAAAGGGGAAAAAAGTGAATCCTAAAATTTGAAAAAGAAACAGAACAGAAAGAACTTAACCATATACCAAATTGGTTAAACGAATTAATTCAAGTGTTGTTAGGACAAGGTAATTTGACTGGATGTTTTTAGTGGAATGTGTTCTAAAGATAAACAATTGCACTCACTGGGAAAATTTTAGTAGTAATGTGGGTATTATATTTTTAAACTATTTGATAGACTGTAGTATAATAACATTTGGAACCAAGATTTTTAGTGTAAGAAAAAGAAATACAAGTACAAAATCAAAGAAAAAAAAAGTTTTGTTAGATTTGAAATGGAAGTGTCAGTATGAATTCATAATCTTTTATTTTTTAAAAAATATACTAGGTGAGCCTAAGACACCTTATTCTACCTGAAAACAAGGACATGAAGGGTCTCCCTTGGGGCAAAGATGGGACAATGTGAGCATCAAAAAGAATAATGAGTAAAACACATGGAATATATATTTTTTAAAACCCTGAGTATTTTATTATTCTTAAAAAAGAAAACCAAAAACAAAGCAGCAATGACAACTCCTCGGAAATGACAGTGGAACCAACTCCTTACTTAGAAGCTTGGCAATTTGGATAAAAGAAAAAAGCATTTATCCTGCCTTACTTGTACAAACTGCACGTTGAGATTACTAAAAAGTCCCAGTTTATGAAGAAGCAAGTTTTACTCTGCAGAAGAATTCCAGTTAATAAGTGGGGAAGGAATGAGAGAATTCAAAAATCACCATTGTGCGATCCCCTAGGAAATAACTGACTCAAGCAAGCTTCACGGACAGATGAGACAGTGGGGGGCAAAGCCGGCGAGGGACTTTACGACTTTGTTGTGGGCTGTCACCACCTGATCCACGATCAGCCTTAGCATCACCCAAAGTGGGATCACCAGACATCGTGTGCCCCCAGAGCAGTACGAAATGAATCACACAGCACCACCCTTGAAGTATTCTTGCCTCCCCGGACAAAACAAAGTTGAAACGGAATCTAATTGAGCTATTAAGGAAACAAAAAGGCAAATTCAGAACGCGGGAACGTTTATAGGACAACTGACTTAGTTCCTGCAATAAGTCACTGGCTGGGGGTAAATTCGAGCTGGGGGTACCGGGGGAGTAAACAGAGCATATGCTCTAGATTAAAGGGCTTCAGAAACCTAACAACCAAATACAGTGGACCTCTCTGTATGCTGACTGGAACAAAATATTAGTTAAGAGACAATTTGAAAGACATGTTGGAAAATGTTATTACAGACTAGTAGTAAATGGGACCAAGGAATTATCATTAATTTTGTTAGGTGTGGCAATAAGCATTATGATTACAGAAGAAAAAGTCCACATGTTTTATTGATGCTTAATGAAGTATACAGGAAACATGCAGAATGTCTGGGATTTGCTTTAAAATAACTGCACAAAGGAAAAAATAAAAGGAAAAGAAGGTGTAGATAAGGCAGATGTGGCCAAATGTTGCTGCTTGTTGAATCTAAGTAATGATTCATCATTACGCTCTTTGTTCTGAGAGAATGTGACATTTTCATGATAAAATATTTTAAATTCCACCTGGTGTCAAAAATATAATTCTCCGACACGAAAAGCAAACCATATGAAATAGAATACAATAAACATACTTAAGAAGAAAATTGATAATTATTTTTTAAATTAACAATTAAAAACAGTCACTAGTTATCCTTTCGTACCTATTAAATTTGCCCCAAACTACTGACTGAAGAAATCAGTGTTGGAAGGGCTGGGAGGGGTAGCTACTCTCATGTGTTGCAGGTGGTGCTGTAAATTAGAATGACCCTTTGGGCAATGTAGCAATAAATATGAAGAGCCATAAAGCTGTTCATACCCTTTGACCTACTAATCCCACTCCTGGGAATTTATCCTAAGGATATAATTCAGATGTAGGAAGAAAGCTATATATACAAAGATGTTCTTGTTCCAATTATTTATAATACAGAGAAAATGGAAATAACCTTAATGTCCAGCACTAAAGGAATGGGTGATAAATTATGGAATATCACTTGGATGGAATATATTACACAAACACTAAAAACAAATATATTACAAAATGGAAAAGTGTTTACAAAAAGCCTCAAGGGATAGAAAAACAAGAGTTTACAATGATGAAAGTAAAAGCTGGAAGAAAAGTTAGATAAACAAAATTGTTCCGGGGTTGGGGTAGGATTATGAGCAAAACAAAAGTTTGTTTTGTTTAAATTTCCTTCATTTTTGTAATCATTTGCAAAAATCATCCTTACAGTGTCCCTTTTTCATTCCTTCTTATAGTGTTAGAAATTTTTAAAGCTTTTAAAATCTTTAAATGATAGGTAAAGTGTGTACTGAAATGAACTAAAATATTCCAAGAAGGTCAGGGGTAGTACTTCATCAAATAACACAAAAAGTGACTTCACGCACACTAGTTTCACTATCTCTGAAGTAATCAGAGTGCTTTGTGAGTCAAGAGAAGCAAGAGGTGTGGGTTAAGGGCACCCTAATGAACAGCTCACAGGAGGAGACCAAGATGATTCTGCTCACCTTTGTCCCTAGATTTTAGTTTTAAAAAGAAATAAATGCAAAGCAGAGATATCATCTGGAGAGACAGCTGAGGGGAGAACTCTGGGCTAATGCTAGCGTGAGGAGGCATCTCATTCTGGAGAAAAAGAATAGGTCGAGGGAAGGATGTAGGGGATCTGAAGCTTCTGACAACAAGGATCGCATTTTTCAGCAACTGATGCTTCAAGAAGCGATTGTGCTTTTGCACTAAAAATGAATGCTGTGCACACTCATTTGCTTTCATCCTTGAGCATTTCTCATAGAAGCATCTTGTACAGTACATTCTGTGGCCAGAGCTGACTTGCTCGGATTAGAGAAAAAGGATGCTTAGGTTGGCAGTCAGTTCATGGCTGGCCCCTCATGCCCTAGAAGGGGTGCTAACTTTGAACCCCAAGTTACTCCCCCCTGAGGTCCGCTCCTGGAGCACATCCCATGCCTTCTCCCAAGTGCGACACCCAGTTTCTAAAATAAGCAGGCTCTCACGCCTCTGGGTTTGCTAATATTCTAGGTATCGTCTGACTCCCAAGCCTTTGGTTCTTTTCCACAACATCTAAATCACACATTTTTGTGGAAAATGCTGTTATTTCTGACTGCCAACTTCAAAGAGCCTTGAAATATCGTCTCCTATAGCACCTAGCATGATAAACACTCAAAAATTAGCTACTACTATGTTATTACTGGTATTTCTCCCTCCCTAGACTGTCAGCTTGAGAATAAAGACCTTGATCATCTTCATATTCTCAGACACTGAATGGACGAATCAAAGAATCCGTCCATCCATTATCTCTAAACAATCCACCCCTTAGACTCCAGGGGCATATTTGTCTGGAACAGACTCTTGGACGCCTAGATGAACCAAGACAGACTTGCTAAACACATAACCTCCAAAGCAACTCCCAAAATCGGGGGCACCCAAAATCCAGGGAACTATGCAGCCAGTATGCAAGTAAAATCCATTTGGCACCTTTGCTCTCGCTTTTTTTCTTTCTTTTTTTTTTTTTAACATCTTTGTTGGAGTATAATTGCTTTACAATGGTGTGTTAGTTTCAGCTTTATAACAAAGTGAATCCATTATACATATACAAATGTTCCCATATCTCTTCCCTCTTGCGTCTCCCTCCCTCCCTCCCACCCTCCGTATCCCACCCCTCTAGGTGGTCACAAAGCACCGAGCTGATCTCCCTGTGCTATGCGGCTGCTTCCCACTAGCTATCTATTTTACGTTTGGTAGTGTATATATGTCCATGCCACTCTCTCACTTCGTCCCAGCTTACCCTTCCCCCTCCCCATAGCCTCAAGTCCATGCTCTATGTAAGTTTGTAAATTTGACCTTCAAGAGGTTTATGTACACTTCAAGAATCTGCATTTAAATCTAGCTGTCACCAGGTGGTGGTAAATGACCCAAGTTACCAGGCTCAAGTCAAGGCATTAAGAAATGAGAACTTAGATGAGGTCTGGAAAATGTAGCTACCCAAGAATGTAATCTTCTTGTAACAGTTAAATTTAAATATCAAACAGTAAACCCCCGTAGAGAACAAAGGGAAGAAACCCATCTTGGTAAAATCTAGAACCTTTTAACTGATGTTAACTCATTGAACTGATGTCTAATTTTGTCTTCGTTAGCATGATTTTTTTTTTGTAATTCAAACTGTGTATATGTCTTACAGCCTAACTGATAATGCAGGATGCTAGGTTTCTAAGACTACAGGCCAGATTGATATTTAAGGTGGGCGGTGGGGGGGGTCATCTGGTTTCTTAAAACTGGAACCGGCTTTTCTTCACATCAGCCACAACTGAGTTACCTGCATAGATGGTTCGAGGTAAGCGATCCCTCTTAACCAGACCCACACACTGGAGTCACCTGGATGGAGTCATCGACTTCTAGGCTCTACCCCAGAGATGCTGCATATATCACCCTCTTACTTAAAAACCCTCCCAAGCTTCTGGGGTGGGGGATAAATTAGGAGTTTGGGATTCACATATACACACTACTATATATAAAAGAGATAACCAACAAGGACCTACTGTATAGCACAGGGAACTATACTCAATATCTTGTAATAACCTATAATGGAAAAGAATCGATTATATATAACCAAATCACTTCGCTGTACACCTGAACCTAACACAACATTGTAAATCAACTATACCTCAATAAAAGAAAAAAGTACAAACAAAACAAAACAACCCTCCCAAGCTTCTAATGTTCCAACTCCCTAGCGTGGACACGAGGCACCTCTGCTGTGGTCCCAATTTATCTCCCCAGTTTCATTTCGTGCCTGTTCTGTCCCACAATGAACCCTACTTACAAGCCACTCCATACTCAGCGTGCTGTGGACATACGATGGTCCTGCTACCAGGCCTCTGCACAGGCTGGTGCCTTCACCAGGCATGCCCTCCCACCCTCCATTCCTTTTTCCACCAGGAAATCTTCTGTCAGGAAGTACTCAACAGTCACCTCCCAGGCCAGCTCTTCCCAAGTCCTCCAGGCTGGCTTTGTGTCTCTCTCCTCTGTTCCATTTCAGCCCTTCGCGCAAACCCCTAGTAGAACCCATCATTGTCACTACCACTCTTTGTTTACATCTTTCCCTTGCACCAGACAGCAAACCCACATGGAACAGATGTTTAGTGCATCAATTATCTTATATGAAAGAGTAGTCCTCTGAGGAGGTGAAATCACCCCTATCAATCCACACATTTTTATAAACTTCTTTGGAAACAGATTCCTATAGTGAAAGGATCCCTCCCAATTTCTTTCAAAAAGACCTTGTATGTCAACCAGACCAAAATGAAATTGTACAAAAATTTAGTAAGGTCCTGTTATGGAGTCACAGCAACCCAGGAGGTTGCAAGGCTTTTCAGCTTCCTGGAATTCTTTTCCATTGGTGACAGACATGTAGGGTCATTTCATGTTAGATGTCAGAATGTGATACAGCCCTATAATTAGAAGGATGTGAATAGTACCCAATTGTGCAAGACTCATGAAACATAACAATATTGAGGTTGGGGATGTGGAGAGGAATGAATATAAGAAATGCAGCAGCAAATAAGTATTAAATACTAGATAGCACTTGATATGTTTTTTTTTAAGAAATTGTGCTTTGGGGTGTTTTCTCTTACCAGCTGGCAAATGATGATATACATGTATCTGAAAATGCCTTATGTAAAACAGGAGACACAATGGAACAGGGCATGATATTAGAAGGTATGTTACAACTGATGATCACATTGAATTAAATTGTTTAAAATCTTGTAAGGAAAAGGGAATTCAATTTTTTAAATCCAAACTAAGTTTATGTTCATTTTCTTTGAAATCTGTTTTATTTTGTTTTCATTCTGATTTTAAGAATAACCAATTAAAGTCCACAGGTACTTTTATTCAAAATCAGGGTGTGTGTGTATGTGCCTATCATGAAACTCGACACATTAATAAGGTTTCCAAACCTCTGTCACCAACACCCCACTTTGTTACTCCTACTAATGGGCCCTCATTTAAAAACACTTTCTACTTTAAACTGCATTGATAAAGAAACAATTCATTTTCCCATTGAAAATGTACCAAAGATGGCTAATTGCCAATCAAAGCTTCTAATCAAAATGAGATAACCAGGGTTCTGAATTCTAGCTCAGGGTAAAGCAGTAGGATACTTGAATGTGAGCCCTTCTCAACTTTTCATGGGAAAAGTATGCTGTTCGATTATTTGAAAATTTGACAGGAAGATAGCTTGAAGATCCCCATTATTGTTATCAAAACCCCTAGAGATCCAGGGACTCGGCGAACAGACTGGGGCACGGTTGGCACAAGACAGGCAAGAACCTTCTAGAACTCACCTGGGGTTTTAGTCACCTCCCTTTGCTCCCTCTTGTCCTGACCCAGCCTTGTTTTCAATTCAGCCTCTTGTGATCTGGCAAATAGCTTTCTCCATTTCCCTCAACAAAACAGGACTCGTGTTTGATCCCCAAATACCTCACCCTGAAAAATGAGAATAATTGATATCTAATACTCTTCCTCTGAAAAGGTTTTTTATTTTTGCTGCAGTTTCTCTTAATTCATTTTAGAAGTGTTGTAACACTAATTTCATAGTTATGTATTTTTAAAGTGCATTCCCTTTGATAAAAACCACCATGGTAAGAATTTTAAAAAGAAGGTTACCCTCTTTTCCTAAAAAACAATAAAGCACAGGGATGTAAGACAAGAACAGGATCTGCCCTGCACTAATGCAGCATGAAAGAACAGTTTAAAAAGGACAAGGAAAATGGTACATTATCTCATTTTGGGGGGAGTGAAGGGGATGAATTAAGGCCACAACAAAACGAAACTGAAAAATTGCTAAATGAAGCTCTGAGTGGGGAAAATGAAAAATCAATGAAGGAATGGAGGGGAAAAGGTACATTTTTCATCTTCATGATGCTTGATTGGGTTTGTAGAAATTCATTTTCAATTAATGTGTCTTGTGGCATTCAGCCAGGCCAGATATGAACAGGGCACACATTTTAATCAATTTTTTTCTATTAAGTTTGAAGTAATATATAATAATAGAACTATACTATTCAAAAGGATCGGTTGAAACTGGCTTCTGAGGTAAAATAATCTAATGTGGTTTGATTTCTATCTTATATTAAAGATAACCCAACTTCTGTTTAAGAAGAAATAGCACCCTGGGTGCCTGAACATGACTGGGCCATGTAAACACCAGGAAAGGATGGATAAACTGGTGTTCCAATCTGTGTGCATTCACTGGGAAGGAAGAAAAAGGGGTGTACCGAGCACCAGGGCTTTTGCTGGCTTAGCTCATTATTCTCAGAAACAACCCTAAGAGTCGTTATCCCCATAGATGAGGGAACTGGGGTTCCTACAGTTTCATTGTCTGTTCATTCCTTAACAATCAGCTGTGATCCCCTCTGCATCGGGCCCAGTGCTAGATTCCGGGAGCACAGCAGTGAGCCAGGAAGACCTGGTCTCCACTTTCGGGGAATCAACATCCCAGTGAGGCAGTAAATGGAGAAAGAAACACACACATTAGCGCAATAAGGAAGCAGGCAGAATGACGTTAGGTCTCCCCACCTACCAAGAGATAGGATGCACCTGCCGTCTGCCGACGGGGTGAGGGAAAGGTTCAGACCACAGGGCTAAAGAGGTAACCAGCTCGTTCCAGCTTGCCCGGAACTTTCTAGGTTCTAGTCTCATGAGTCAGGAACCTTCTCATTCGCAGGCAAACCAGGACAGGTGGTCACCCTAGAGCTCGACTCTGGCAGGGCTGAGATCTAAACCCACTTCTCTTTGATGACAAGGCCCAGGCTCTTCCGTTCACACCAGCCTGACGTCCAGAGGTCTAGCTTCCCTATGACGACAACCTATCGCGGCAATGCTGCCTAGAAATCAGGCCAGGCTGGGAAGAATACTGGCAGGTGATACCTTCTTTAACAAAGGATTTGCTGGAGCCCTAAGTCTTCAGGCTATTCTTTCCTCCTCTGTGACCTTATTGGAAGGTGGGATGGAGAAGTGGCAAAGAGGGTCCTCTGAGCTTCTCTGTCCCTGTGCTTCCCTGGATGGGTACAGTATCAGGGACAGACGACCACACACTGAGCAGGAATATCCAGGGAGAGAACTGTTTCAGGCTAAACAACTAGAGGAGGTACAGGCATCACTCATCTTACTGCACTTCATTTTATGGTGCTTTACACGTCGCATTTTTCACAAATTGAAGGTCTGTGGCAACCCTGCACTGAGCAAGTCTGTCGGCACCACTTTCCCAACAGCATTTGCTCGCTTTGTATCTCTGTGTCACACTCTGGTAATTCTTGCAATATTTTAAATCCTCCACCAGCAAAAAGATTACAACTCACTGAAGGTTCAGATGATGATTAGTGATCATTTTTCAGCAACAAAGTTTTTTCTTTTCTTTTCTTTTTTTTTTTTTTTTGCGGTACGCAGGCCTCTCACTGTTGTGGCCTCTCCCGTTGCGGAGCACAGGCTCCGGACGCGCAGACTCAGCGGCCATGGCTCACGGGCCCAGCCGCTCCGCGGCACGTGGGATCTTCCCGGACTGGGGCACGAACCCGTGTCCCCTGCATAGGCAGGCGGACTCTCAACCACTGCGCCACCAGGGAAGCCCTTTTTATTTTTTTTTAAATTTATTTATTTATTTTTGGCTGCATTGGGTCTTTGTTGGTGCGCGCCAGCTTCTCATTGCAGTGGCTTCTCTTGTTGCGGAGCACGGGCTCTAGGCACGCAGGCTTCAGTAGTTGTGGCTTGTGGGCTTAGTTGCTCCGCGGCATGTGGGATCTTCCCAGACCAGGGTTCGAACCAGTGTACCCTGCATTGGCCAGCGGATTCTTAACCACTGCGCCACCAGGGAAGTCCCGAACAAAGTATTTTTAATTAGGTGTCACATTGTCTTTTTATACATAATGCTATTGCACACTTAATAGACTACAGTATAACTTTTATATGCACTGGGAAACAAAAAAGTTCATGTGATTCACTTTACTGCAATATTTGCTTTATTGCAGTGGTGTGGAACCCAACCCGCAGTATTTCTGAGGTAGGCATGTATATGAAAGCACCCAGCTCCACACCTGGCACAAAGCTGATGATAAAAAAAAATGGGGGCTTCCCTGGTGGCGCAGTGGTTGAGAGTCTGCCTGCCGATGCAGGGGACATGGGTTCGTGCCCCGGTCCGGGAGGATCCCACATGCCGCGGAGCGGCTGGGCCCGGGAGCCATGGCCGATGAGCCTGCGCGTCTGGAGCCTGGCTCCGCGGCGGGAGAGGCCACAACACTGAGAGGCCCGCACACTGCAAAAAAAAAAAAAAAAAAAAAGTAGTTTAAATAAATGTTCCTATTGACATATACACGCTACTATATATAAAGCAGGTAACTAATAAGGACCTACTGTATAGCACAGGGAACTCTACTCAGTACTCTGTAATGACCTATATGGGAAAAGAATCTAAAAAAGAGTGGATATATGTACATGTATAACTGATTCATTTTGCTGTACACCTGAGACTAACACAACTTTGTAAGTCAACTATACGCCAATAAAAAAAAATTTTTTTAAAGATGCTTATACTAGTCTTGTCAATTTTAAGACAAAACAAAACAAAAAAATAAAGGAGGCTTTAATTACACACACACACACACACACACACACACACACACACACACACACACACAAAATATGTTCCTGAAGTTCAGGTGCCCTGGGACATGGACCCTCAACTGTACTGACCAGGACTCTCCTGGGAGCCCCCTAGCTGCCCTCCCTGCCCCTCTCCTCTCCTGTTTGCCAAGCACGCCCTTCCAGAGATCTGAGGCTCAGATCTCATCAGGCAATGGGGAGCCATCGAGGAATTAGGAGCTTAGTAATAAAGGACGTTTTCTTGGCTTGTTGCTGGTAATCCACAGCAATTAGGCCCAACCTACATTTCCAGTCTCTTCATCATTACTCCCTCCTACAATCCAGTCAAACTAGAATAATGCTCCCTGAACTCACCCTATACTTTCTGGCTTCCATGCTTTTGTTTTTTATTTATTCTGTATCTTGTCTGGCACGTCCTTTTCCACCTACTCGATCCCTGCCCAGAAAAATCTAACCCATGCTGCAAGACCCAGTCAAATTTCACCTCCTCCCTAAAGACTCCACGCACACTAGAATTAGTGAACATTTACAGGCACTGAGCTACACCCTTAGCGTACATTCTTTCAGTCAATCAACAACCCCTGAAGCAGGTACTATTATCATCATTCCCATTTTTTTGATAAGGAAACTAAATGTTGGAGAAGATCAATAAGTTGCTCAAGATACAAAGCCCAGTCAGGAGCAGATGCAGGATACAAAGATTGAATTTACTTGAAGCCTACAAACTTAACCACTATGTTCTCCAGCTTGTGTGTTCCCAGCACACAGCTAATTGTCTTGCTTAACCCTTATATTCTGCCTTGAGTTATAACGAGTTTTAATGTCAACCAGAAAGTCCTTTGAGGGCTTTGAGGACTCAGGTCCATTTTTACATTTGGTTCATAAAACTTGCTTCTTAAATGTTTACCGATTGACCCATCAGAGAAAAACTCTCCGTAAGTGGAACCTAGCCCTTCATCACCCCCACTCCCACTTGTGTGTGTGAAGACTGGCTTTTCTGCAGACTTCAGCACAGAGGCAGGGGAACAGAAATATATAAAGACAGTGGCATGAGAGAAACAACTCCAGCTTGATAAAGGTTGAATGAAAAGAATCAGTGGGGGAAGGATGGACTATCCAATAAATGGTGTTAGAGAAACCAGCTTTCCATGAGGGCAACAAAGGGTGACAGCTCTATTCATACTATATACACAAGAAATACATTCCATGTGGATTATTCTTTATTTGTTCAACAAATATTTATTGAGCACCTGCTATATGCCTGTGACTATTCCAGGTGTTAGGGATATAGCCATGAACAAAACAGACAAAAGCCACTGCCCTCAGGGAGCTTACATTCTAGTGGAGGGAAACAGATAACACATAAATAAACAAAACAGATAAGTGTAGGATATATTACAAGATGATAAGTGCTATGGAGAAAAACAGAGTAAGGAAGAGAACGATGGGTAAGAATGTGGGGGAGGGGTGTAATTACAGACCTAAATGCAAAACAAAACTCTAAAGCTTATGACAGACAAACAAGACACACAACACAGCACAGAAAGATTGATAACTTCCTACCAAAATTTAAAATGTGTATATTATACAAAACACCATAAACAAACAAACGAAAATGACTGACAGGGAGAAGATAACCGCATTCAAATACTTTTTGACAAACGACTAATATTGGCAGTATACAGAGTTCCTAAAAATCAGCAGGGAAAAAAAGAAAAACAAACAGAAAAAACGAACAAAAGATATGACCAACCAGTTCATAAGAATGGGAGCCTGACTGGTGAGAAGTTTATGCTCAATGTCTACAGCTGTAATGAGCAGTCACCAGGCTGACGCAAGTTAAAACCAAGACAAAGAGATACTATTTCACAACTGGCTAAAATTATAGTCCAACAGCACCAAGAGGTGATGAGAATGTGGAGAAATCTGCCCTCATACATGACGGGTGGAAGTCTACGTACACTTTGGAGAGCAATAGGGAAATACCTAGCAGAGAAGAAACCGTGCCAACCCCAGGCCCTGGCGATTCCTCCTCTGAGTACATTCCCTAGATAAGCACAGACACATGTGTGGCATTGTTTGCAAAAGAATAAAAAATTGGAAGCAAGCTAAATGTCTGTCAGTAGGGTACATTACAATATATTCATCTAATGGAATATTAGACGGCCATCAAAATGCATAATTCTGATCTATATGTAACAACTCCAAAAACAAAACCGGGGAAAAGAGTAGGTTGCAAAATAAATACAGTAGTATTTATTTATATATTATAAATAAAATTTTACATACTTTTTTAAACACAGAAACCAAGCTATATGCCAACAATAAATACATGTATGTGTAGTAAAAGCATAGAAACATGGTCTGGATAGAGGTCAAATTGCCTCCGGAGGAGGTGTTAGGGCAGGATGGGGTGGAGGGTAAGAAGGGAAAAGATCCAAACTGGGAGGAGTAAAATGAGAACTTCTAATGTTTTATTTAGAAAAAATATGAAATACGCCAAAATGCTAACATCTGTCAATTCCAGAAGAGAATACATGGGTTTTATTTTTTATCATTCTCTTTAAGTTTCTATATTTTAAATTTTTTTCCAATTATAAAAAAGTAAGAAGCAAAGAACAAGGCTGGCTTTGGAGTCAAAACTCTGGGTGTGGACCTAGCACCATCATCACTTGTGGAGAGACCACTAGCTACTTATTTTTTAAGACTCTTAAGTCTCAGTTTCCAGTAGTAAAAAATGGTGCCAATAATACCTCCCACAGAGGGTGAACGTGGGATGGGAGGGGTAGATGCACACCTACTACACATGAGGCACATGTTGCAACATGGGAAGCATCCACTAGCTGGCAGTTGGATGAGGAGCACAGGCACACAGACTACTATGGGCAGAACGCGAGCACCCAGGTCTGAGAAACATTTCAGAGCCAATTAGAAACAATTCCAACAGACAGAAAGTGGGTTCGATGACATTTGCAAAGAAAAGACCTTCTCCCTTGAAAGGACAATTTGAATCGTGAATACATTAATCAATACATGTCACACAATGACCCTGCAATACTTCTATAATGCATACAAAAACGGTTTACACCATGTGAGCTTTCTGGTTACCTTCTAAAAACTTCATGCTTTAGATAAAGCAGCTGAGATCTTAAAATAAAAAAGTGGCTAATACAGTGTTAAACACCAGAACTGGAAACTGTAACATTTTCGATTACTATAAATAAATTTGGCCTCAACTTTTGAGTAGCATCTCCTTTGGGTGGGGGTGTGAGTGGCCCTGAGACAGAATCACAGCCTTACTAAGAGCCCAAGGCTTAGGATCCAGTTAGGGGTCAGGGAATGGGGTGGTAGTACGGGGTGAGTGTGGGGCAGGGTTTGAGCACCTAGCTCATGTTTGATGCAGGAAGTCAAGTTCATACCATATCACAGTCCTGGCAGGAAGGGGTGAATTTAGGGACACAGGCAAAGGCAGGGAGGAGCAGGTGGAGGGAGGTCCTCTCAGGCAGGGGACCCGGATCTAAGGAGATCCCCGATTAGCCCAGGACCCAGCATCAGGCCTAGGGGGAGGTGCAGGGGTCGTCTAGGGCACAGCATTTGGGGGGTGGGGGGGAGGCACTCTCACGGTCCTGCAGACAGCCTTGGCACCTCACTCACTCTCTGCCCCAGAACATAAGGTCTACCTAGCCTCAGGGTACTATCTGTGCCCCAAAAGAGAGAAGGAACTCCAAGGGCAGGGGGGAGAGCACACAATCCTGGGAGAGAGGCCCAAGTGGGTGCCCCGCTTCCTCTAGAAGTCATTACATCCCCTTGTCTGATATTACTTCAATTTTTGAAGCTGGGTAGTGAGTCTACTCCACTAGAACAAATGCCAGTAACTTTTCCACCAGACTGAGAAACACGAGGGCAGTAAAGGTATCCCTAGAAACAGTGTAGGTCCCTACACTAGAGTGACATCTAGATTAGCGATTCTCAGATCTGACTCAAAGCTCCCTAGGGGAAGTCTGGAAACCCAGCAAGAGTATCTGGGGATGTGCATTCAGACAGAACACAGTGGAGGTAAACTGCATCAACGGTTCATACGCATGTGGGAAGTTATTCATCTGCTTCCTTTCCCATCACTACCTACTTGCTTCAGCTGGGCAGAAGCATCTAAATTAAAGACCAAAGACAACTATTGACAAGAAAGCATTTACCTGCCCACTTTGCCACGGAAAAGAGGACGGAGCGGAAAACTACCCAACGTCTACGTGACACCCCCCCCCCTTAATGAACTCACTTCATTATTATTAGGCTAATACCACCCACTGACTATTACTACCACTGCTGCTACTACAATTCTCAGCAACACCGTTTAGTTTTGATGAGATACCAGGGCCTGTGGCTGTCTCACAAAGCCCTCTATGAAAATAAAGCATGCATAAAGTATATTTCACTTCAGTATATTTCAGCCAAATACATTTTTTAAATTTATTTATTTATTTATTTTACTGCACGCAGGCTTTCTCTGGTTGCAGCGAGCAGGAGCCACTCTTCGTTGCGGTGCGTGGGCTTCTCATTGTGGTGGCTTCTTGTTGCGGAGCACGGGCTCTAGGCACGCGGGCTTCAGTAGTTGTGGCTCATGAGATCTAGAGCACAGGCTCAGTCGTTGTGGTGCACGGGCTTACCTGCTCCGTGGCATGTGGGATCTTCCAAGATCAGGGATCAAACCCGTGTCCCCTGCATTGGCAGGCGAATTCTTAACCACTGCGCCACCAGGGAAGTCCCCATTTTTCTTGTCATCAGATATACTTCTCCTTTTCATGAAGTGAGTTGAACTGTCTATGCGTGATGATAGAAGCAAACCAAATGTTTCTTAAACAAGAAGGGTGCTAAGTTGATTAGTGCCGTTGATCTTCATTCAGAAAGGACATCCTCAGGGCCACCTCCTACATACAAATATAATCAAACTACAGAGACACCTGGCTTATTCTGTCTTTTCTGGGGTGTGATCAGGTGGGGAGCACTTCCTCCTGGGGCGCTGGAGTCCTTCGAGCCCGCTTCCCATCTCCTTGGCAGGTGTCCTTGGCACCTTTTCCATGAATAAGGCTTCATCCTCCAAGACCAGCCTCCACCTGGCACTTTCTAAATTAGTTTTTAGTACTACTCTTCATCACAGTTCCCTCTTTGATGTCTAGGAACCCACGTTTCTAGAAATACTCTGTGGATCTTTGAGTTCTCTTGACTCTGCAGTGTCAGGCTGTAGAAGTTGAAGTTACAGAATGTGGGTGTTTCCACAAATAAGAGCCCTACGTGGCCACATTTCCTTTTCAATGTCATGTCCTTCGTGTCTTGTTCATCAGCTCATCACACACACACACACGCCACCTCTTCCCAGCAGAGAAAGTACAAGTGTTCTTCGAACCACGAACGATAAAAGGAACTGCTTCCGACCCAGAGCAAGCTACCATTTTGTCATCTTCCAAAGAGCCAGAGACTAAATCTGGAGAAGAGCTCGTGGGACATGATCTGGAAACAGTTCAATTGAGCAGGTTAGCGTGGTGGGCTCGGTGCCACAGCTCCTTTCCCCTTCCCCCATGTGGCTAATTATCAGTGATGGAGATCACTCTGAATCCTCTAAACACGGGGTATTGGGCAAACATGTGCTTTCGCATTGTACATTTCAGCACACCACACGAGACTTTTAAAATAAATTGTGTGCTAACAAATGGCCGATCCATTTAAAAGGGAAGATTCTTGGGATGGAGAGAATTTAAATTTTTAAAATTGCTTTCCTCCAGATAATTTTCCCCTGGGCAGAAAGCTGCTTTGGTTGGCGGGGCACCGGGCCTTGATGAGAGCAGGTAAAGAGGTGTCAACGTCCTGTTGACTGAAGATGTTTAAAGATGTGTCACGTGTTCACTGCTCTGGCTGCAGGTTCCGCCCAGCCTTGTGCTCCTCCCTGATCTCCTGGTTCCTTTAACGGCAAGCTAAAGAACTCAGCGGGATTCCAGACGGCTTGTCAACAGAAGAATGAAGCCCAAGGGCAAGGACGACTGGAACTCAGCTAACACCAGATGATAAGATCCATGAGGGCAGGACCACATCTGCCCCGCTCCCCACTGGGTACCCAGCCCCACCACAGAGAAAATGCCGGTGGGTGACTGGTAAATGGATGGATGAGTGAGTTTCCTCATGAATGCTATTTTTTTCAGTCCCTCTGTATTTTCTGGCAAACCCTTGAAAGTCTAAAAGGGGCATATTTGGGCTTGTGTGTGTGTGTGTGTGTGTTTTTCTTTCAGATCCAGAACCAGTCAGAAGAACTAGTGATGGGAGGGAGATGACCAATCCCTGTCTAACACCACAAAAGGAGACTTAATTTGGTACAAAGATCTAGCCAAGTGGGGGTATGTGCTCCCACACTTCACGCAGGACGCTTTGTATCTTTTCTCAATGAACTTGACCCCATAGGATACATAATCCTTCATTTCAAAAGGGCCCATCCTGCCCCCTTCTTACATGCACAAATCCCTACTGAAATATACTGTCCCACACAATGAAAAGTCATTATTGAGCTAAGGACTGCAACACCTACGCTGGTTAATTTTTATTCAATATGTCGTCATCATTATTATTATTATTATTAGAAATTACACTCCACTGAGGTGGAAGTAAATATGCTGCTTAACGTTTAAGGATTCCAAGAACCTCAGTAATAATACCTGGATGTTTTGAGCTAAAAAAAGAAGCCCATCATTTTAATAAACTAACTTCATTCACAGACACTGTGATTCAGATGACAGCAACAATGGATGGGAACTAGATTCCTACCCCTGGTGAGTGTGAAGCCATCACAGGGACAAGCTTTCAGACTTAACGTGAGGGAAGGAAAACTGTCCCTAACACTGGTGACACGTAAAGGTTGCCTTTATTTCCAGGTCAAATTTGTCTCAATATCTGGGTGGCTGGAGTTCACAGATAGAAAGACACTTCTCAAGTCAGAGTTCAAGATGCCACACATGACTAATTCAGCTGTCTGGATTTTTCAAACTTTGGTCCAAATGACTTGAACCAATTTAATATGTCTTTGCTGCTTTCACTCATTATGCAAAGCAATGAAAAGGCTGAGATCCTAACAACAGGCACAGCCTAGTAAACAATAGAGAATTCTTTATATAAGGAGCTTCTATCCCGACTTCTCTCCTCATAAAATGCACCCGTGATTAAAGGCTACATACACTTCCCAGGACAGCCAATACTAGAAATGTTTCCTTTATGTTGAACAGAAAGCTGAAATTTGCCACCCAGTGGCTCCAGCCTGGCTTTGCACTGCAACACAAACAAAAATATATTCCATCTTCTCCATGACCGTTTTTTAAGATGTGAATTCACCTCTCACGTCTCCCCTTTTGCCCATGTCTTGCCTGAGTGCTTCAACCACTCCCTGGATTACTGTAGTTCTCAACTCCTTTCCAGCCTGATCCTGAACATCTCAATGTGCTCATTTGTCCCTTTTCCATGGTTCTAACTTCTAAGAAAAGTATTCACATAAATGGCTAGAGCAATTGAAATTTTAAACCATCCTTTTGTTGTATGAGTTAATACAGTGTACTGGACAAATACATTAATCCTTACCACCTGATTTAAGTAGTTGTTAGTTTAAATTTAGAATTAAAGCTCTCTTCCTCTGTCTCTTAACTGTTGAAACTCAGCTGGCCCCTAGGTGGTGCTCATTCTGACAGTGCCATCCTAAATTTCAGCCTGTCATTTCATGCCCATGGCTGGGTCTTTCAGACCACATCATCAGCACTTAGAGAAGCTCTATTTAGGAGATATTAAATCACAGGTAGTAAAGCAAGGCATGGACAGTGATCTTTATATGCTTCCCTATTTTCATATATAAATATTCCCCTACTTTCAAATTGGTATGTCTATTAGAGTCCGGAAGTCACTTAGAAAACAGAATTCTAAACTACTTGAAAATGTCTTTTAAAAAAGACCCATCATTAAACGCTTACAGATGATAACTCAATCAGAAGCCAAGGCATATGAGGTTTTGTTCACTGGTTCTCTAATATTCGACAGGGAAACAACGCAGACAGCACCCTGCAGTGAGGCAGGAGAAATGGAGTGCACCACAGCCAAGGAGCCCCACGGGGAAATGAGGGACAGCCTTGCCCCAGACTTCATGTGTGTGAAGTTCAGAAGCAGAAAAGCTATGATCTAACAGCCATGGTTCCAGAGATGCTAAATGTGACAAAGCAATGCTTTTCCTTGGGAAACACACTCCTGACAACTACCCAATGCTGATATACGGCAAGACCTACCCATCCCGGTTGCTGGCACTGTTCCTGCTTGGCAGTGCCAAGGAACTGTGAAAGTACATGCGGGGTTTCCTCATCTGAGCCTTTGTTCCCCATTCTCTTATTCTACTGAGCCCTGAGACTGACACACGGGCCAATCACACTGTGTGACTGGGTTTCTCGTTTGGGAGCAGATTTTATCTAATGTGTACGTTTATCCTACACACAATAAAAAAAAAAGGTGTAAAGGTGTCCCTGCCCATCCTCACAATTGCCTGACCTTAACTCCACTCATAGCGCCAACATTTTAGGGATTAATAAAAAAGATAGGGCTTCCCTGGTGGCGCAGTGGTTAAGAGTCCGCCTGCCGATGCAGGGGACACAGGTTCGTGCCCCGGTCCGGGAGGATCCCACATGCCGTGGAGCGACTGGGCCCGTGAGCCATGGCCGCTGAGCCTGCGCGTCAGGAGCCTGTGCTCCGCAACGGGAGAGGCCACAGTAGTGAGAGGCCCGCGCACCGCAAAAAAAAAAAAAGGTATACGTTTAATCCTCTATTTGTCTATCATATGTGTAAATTATTTATTAGAAGTAGATATACTTTTAATTTTAATAATACACTAACAGATAAATTTTCAGAGTTGTGCTTAATATAAATTTTTTTTCCAGTTTTTCCACTGCCAACCAAATGTTTAATTAAATTGAAACCTTTTCTTTGCAAGTTAGAGAATTAGTCCCTAGGGAATACTTATCACCTTGTTAGTACCAACTGTTCTTATTTCCATCTGATTTTTTAATCGAGCAAGAAAAATACACTAATATGTGATGAGCTGTACACAGCATGGACTTTCTCCTATGCAGCATCACCAGGAGAGAGACAGGTACAGTGACACAAGTTAAAAGAAACTCTTTTCCTCTTAGAGAAACATAAAAGTTCAACTTACCTGTTTTTTCATTTAGAAAAACAGGACAGTAAACTATGTCCAGCATACAGTAAGCCTAAAACTCGCTTTCACGTTACACAGACAGCTAAGGAGAAAAAGGATAGTAGAAAAGAGAAAAAACGAAGAAGAAGGGACAGACAGGGAAAGGGAATGACAGAGACACACCAGACGTGGAGAAAGGACAAGAGCAGAAGCAGGGGACAGGCAGGCAGGTCCCGGGGTGCAGAGGCCTGAGCTGAAGTGAACTGTTCTTGTCACACCCTTTGGTCCCTGAGCTGCAGGCACCCATAAAGGGTACTGCTGTCCTGTGTAGGTGAGTGAGCTTATGAACCGCACCTTCCAGCTTTCTTAACTGTAACCCTTTCATCTGGGGACGGCCCTCTTTTAGAGGGATCATCACCAGTCCACAGGGGACATATGAGGACCTTCTCCTCTGGGCCAAGATGGCAGTAGCCTGAGCTAGTTCACTGTGAGCCACAGAAGATGGAGCTGAGAGTCGTATCTGGCTCTAGGGCTGAAGTGTTCCCACCACAGGAAGCAATCCCGGGCCCAAGCCCTTTCACAGGGGCTTACCTCCTCAACCATCTGCTTGACTTTCTTCTGCTGGCAATGCACCATGTCATCTAGGTGTCGGATCCGCTCCCGGAGGCTGGCCGATGCCTCCTCCAGCCGCTGATACCTAATACAAACAGAAGAAAGAGCAAGTGAATCCTCAAGCAAAGCAACAAGGGCAGCACCCAGAGTCACCGCTTGAAGGGAATATTGCCCAGAACAAGATGCACTCTTCCTACTTTGTGTGTATCCTAGTTTATTAACTACCAATCGACCACCCCACTGTAGAAGGAAGATAGGACCATTTTTCAAGTTCCCACTTGCAAGTTTTATCCTGTATAAGGACAGTTACTACACTTTCCAGGGGCTGAGAGAGAATTTTTTTGCACCACTTACAGATATGAGAGGCTTTTTCTTTTTGGGTTAATACAGCATTGGCACATCCAGTAATTACCACAATTAGGAAAACAGAGAAGGAGAAGAATCTAGCAACACAACAAAATATCTGAAATCAAGTGGCAGAGTCCTGGAAAGTCAGGAATTACAGTTGTTCCATACATCATTTATTTTGAGAAAATGGGAAAGATGCTGCAAGACCCTCTCTCCATCAAAACAGAGCAGACCACCTCATAAAACATTTCATACTTTAAAAAAAAAAAGCACAAATTATCCTCAGACTTTACTTGGTTCAAATAAACCAAAGGAACCAGCAGATGGACTCTACAGTCCTTTGGGGCCCCTGGACTGGAGCACGGACGAAGAGTCTGGTGGTCTGCTTACCACTTCCCATCTCTGCCAGGTCCCTCCTCAGCACTATGTTAAAGACTAGGGAAGATCCCTATAACTCTGCAAACTCTGAAGTTGCACAAGAGGAAGGAGGACAGGTATCTTTTCAGCACATACTATGTGGCAGGCAGTACACCCAGCAGTTCCCTCACAGTAATACCCCAATGAGATGGGCACTCTTCACATCATTACAACTCTCCCCACTTGAAAACAGAATTCCCATTTTACAGAGAAGCAAAGAATCTCAGGGTTGTTAAGTAACTTGCTCAAATGCTCAAAGCATCCCAACCTTGTTTTCCTTCACTAGAGGGCCGTGCGTGGCCTCGCTGCCTTCTGGTTTCCAGAAGAGGCCGTGGACTGCTCCTGCATTTCCCATGCAGGGCTTTATACACTCATAGCCAGAGGACAAGGCAAGGTTTCATTGAGGAATGTTTGGACACAAAGACATTGTAAAATTAAGTTTCCATGGCAATGGTATTAGTCACTCTTGAGTTTTCTCAACAACCAGGTGCATCCTGTGGAGCTCAAGGTTATGGAGAACATTTATAGACTGAACTCTGGTACTTGTGACAGGCTTTGACGTGTTCCACTGCACTAACAACCAGCCCTGGGTTGTAAGATGTGGCTGGAAGCTCCACGTTGGAAGCTCCCAGTCCAATGTTTTGCATGTATCAGTCTGCAATGGGTGATGACCAAACGAATGACAATGCAAGGACCAAGTGAGCCCACAAAAACACAGCATGTCCGCCATCTAAATCCATTACAAGGTAAAGGGCAGGGCTTCCCTGGTGGCGCAGTGGTTGGGGGTCCGCCTGCCGACGCGGGGGACACGGGTTCGTGCCCCGGTCCAGGAGGATCCCGCGTGCCGCAGAGCGGCTGGGCCCGTGGGCCGTGGCCGCTGGGCCTGCGCGTCTGAAGCCTGTGCTCCGCAGCGGGAGGGGCCGCAGCAGTGAGAGGCCCGCATACCGCAAAAAATAAAAATTAAAAAAAATAAAAAGATAAAGGGCATTACATCTTACCTTTCTTTGTCAGAATTGGTAATTTCCGTTGACAATTCTGTTTCACGCTCCAGGAGCTGGAGTTGAAGTTGATGGCGTTCCTAAAACAGACAGACACTAATATTTAATCTATGGATCCCAAGTTGGCTGGAGAATGTACAGCAAGCAACTCCAGCACTAGTGAATTCAAGTCTATGTGACACCCATGGGTTTTATACACCCACTTGCCAGGGTCCAAACAAAGCTCAAAACGTCAAATTTACTGGTGTGTATTTACAGATGAATATCCTGGATAAAGCCATTCGAGATTTTTTTTTTTTTTTTTTTGCGGTACGCGGGCCTCTCACTGTTGTGGCCTCTCCCGTTGCAGAGCACAGGCTCCGGACGCGCAGGCTCAGCGGCCATGGCTCACGGGCCCAGCCGCTCCGCGGCATGTGGGATCTTCCTGGACCGGGGCACGAACCTGTCCCCTGCATCGGCAGGCGGACTCTCAACCACTGCGCCACCAGGGAAGCCCCAAGATTGATTTATTTATTTTTTAAAGCATTTCGTCAGCCCAGGCTCAGATGTCTTGTGAAAATTTATGGTTCTAAATAATGTTAATCAATACTCTAAATCAGTGGCCTGTGATACTACAAATTTCTTGGGATTATTTTCTGAATCATCAAGAGGGTCTGGAATCCTGTAATATCCTATAAGTTAACTGGGATGGTGTGTACACGGGTGTGTTCACTTGTAAAACTACATTGTGAAAATCAGAGTAACAGTCCCCCAACGGTGTCCACATCCTAATCCCTGAAATTTGTGAATATGTTGCCTTACATGGATAAAGGAACTTTGCAGCCGTGATTAAGTTAATGGTCTTGAAAATGGGGAGGTTATCCTGGATTATCTAGTTGGGCTCGTATTAGAAGGAAGAAGTAGGGTTAGAGTCAGAAACAGACAAAGACTAGGAGATGCTACAATGCTGGCTTTGAAGCTGGGGGATGGGGCCATGAGCCAAGGAATATAGTCAGTCTCTAGAAGGGAACAAAGGCTAGGAAATGGATTCTCCTCTAGAGCTCCCAAAAGGAAGCCAGCCCTGCCAACACCTTGATTTTAGGACTTCTGACCTCCAGAACTAAAAACGATAAATCCATGATGCTTTAGGCCTCTAACTGTGGTAAACTGTTACAGTTTCAATAGGAAACCAATTCATGTATCAAGCTGTGCACTTAAGATTTGTACACTTTGCTGTGTGTGTGTGTGTGTGTATATATATATATAAATTTAGAAGTTTACCTAAAATAAGTAATATAAGGGACTTCCCTGGTGGTCCAGAGGTTAAGAATCCGCCTTCCAATGCATGGGATGCAGGTTCGATCCCTGGTCGGAGAACTAAAATCCCACATGCTGCGGGGCAACTAAGCCCGCGTGCTCTACTGCCCATGTGCCACAACTAGAGAGAAGCCGGCGCCCTGCAACAAAAGATCCCGCACGCTGCAATGAATATCCCGCGTGCCGCAACTAAGACCCAATGCAGCCAAACACACAAATTTTTTTTTAAAAAAGTAATATAAAATCTGGACACATTTCTTTGAACAAAGTGGAAAATATTAATAAAAATGTAGTGCCCACCACAACCAAAATTGCCCTAGAAATGTTACAGATGGGAGTATAATAAATTTCCTTACAATGAAGTTTATCAAATTCTGCTCATTAATTGGGAGGAGACTATTCTACTTTAGGTCCTTCTCTAAGTATGGCCGTGCCTCATCTTTAACCTCAGACGTTCTCCCCAACAAGCTCTGGCTACTTATACACATTCCAAACGTCTTTTCCACCAAATACTCAAAGCAGATCCTTGAAACTGTAGCCCCCTCAACTTCTGAAGCTGTAAGCAGTGGCAGACCAAGGGTAGACCAGAGCTGGGGAGCAGTACACCATGGGAGGAAGGGTGTGTTATCATCGATGTCCTTAGAATAATGAAGGAAGACCAAATTTTCAGTGGGGTTTTATTACTGCTTTCAAATCTCTACAGCGAATGCACATTCTTACTGTCCCCACGGGTTCTGCCACTGGCTGGAAGTTTACATTAGCCCTGAAATAATGATGACACTTTAACAAGCGAGCTTTCCCTCAGACTCCCCGGAAAGCTGTCTTAAAGTAGGGCAAGGCCTGACTTACAGCATACTTTAAAATTCGATTTTTTTCTAAATTGAGGCACAACAAATCTTGAGTATTGCACAATCAATACATTTGTATACACATTACCTGGTGAAACCACCACTGAGATCAAGGCATAGAATATTATCTATTCTACAGAAGGGTCTCTGATAGAACACACTCCTTACAAGACGTCTACCGATCAGGAAAAAAAGGTGTTTGGGACGCAATGCTGAGAACGGTAAACTAAGGGATACAGCACAGAAGCCATTCAAAAGGACATGGTTTGTCCTCAAGAAAAATCCAAAAATAGGTGAGAACAGGAATACAAACTCTGTGGGCATGCTGTTCACATCCTGTGTGACAGAGATTTGGCCCAGTTCCTGCTGTCCCAGATTTATCCCTGAAGGGGGAAAAACAGTAAATGGGTAATCTAATCTTCGCTAAATAAAGCAAGCATTTTGCTAGCTTAAATGGGAAAGATTAAGAGGAAGGACAATAGATTTTCAATCACTAAAGAAAAAGCCAAGAGGATGTGGGGAACATTTTGTGTCACACAAACGCTGGCAGGGACGGCCGGCCTTACCAACACCAGCCTGGCCCCCAGCCATATGGCCCTCACCCGGGCTGCACGTGCACATCAGTGGGAAAAAGCTAGGAACTTTCAGAATCGCAAGGGTATAAAGACACTCAGCTGTAGAACAGGTCCAGCTGAAAAAGAAGCTGACACCAGGGGCAGACATTTATGCAAGTAACATAAAAATCAGAGCCACACATTGGTGAGCCCCGACTTTATACATGCCAGGCACCGCGCTGAGCACTTGGCACGGATTTTTCTCGTGTACTCCCCACAGAAGGCCTAAGAATAAGAATGACTATTGTCAGCATTTTCCAGAAGAGGAAACTGAATTTGGAAAAGTCAAGTAACTGCCCACAATGAGAAAGAGAGGCAAGACTCAAACCCTAGGTCTGTCTGATCCTAAAACCCATGTTCTTAACCAGTACACGGACAGTCTGTCTGTACATCTCCCCGTGCTGCCCGCTCACCTGGCTTCTGCTTGCTGCAGGACAATCTGTCACCCAGGGGGAGTGTGTGCTTTAACCAGCACCGCCTGCTGTTGTAGGAGAGTGGGGATGTGGGAGATAGCTCCCCCACGTTCTAGAAAATGCCCTCGTTGCCCAATCATTATGACCGCCACCTCCAGCCAATGCTGACGTTAGCCCTAACTATGCCACTTACCCGTTCTTCAATACTACATGGGATTCTGCTTTCCCAGAGGGTGGAGGCGAAATTGTAGTTGACTCTCTATTTGCCCAAGTCCCTCCCCAAAAAAGATGTTACCCAAAACAGGAGCCCCCCACCAGCCCCGAAGCTCCACAGTATTGCATTTAAGGCTGTTCCCAAGCTGGTTACGCCTCCCTTGACAGGGGACGGTGGAGGGAATCGTGCCGCAGACACCACGGCGCGGCCCTCTTCTCAGAATCACCCGGGAGCCCAGCTGTTGACCCTGCTCACACTGTCACTCCCCCTCCCGCCATCGTCAGCCTGGGATTCTCAGCATCCAGCGTGAGTTACGGGATGTTGATGGGTGAGGTCTTGGCCAGTCAGGGCTGTTCTGCAAACCCATGCCACGAGAGAGCCACTTTCCAGGAAGCAGCCACAGCCCTAGCCTTCAACTACCCCCCTCCCCCAGCAGCGAGCCGTCACCTGCTAAAGGTCACCCGCCCTTTCTCTTTTTTCTCTTTCCTCTCTCCCACCCCTCCTTCCCGTTTCTCCACTTCCTGCCTAATTTCCAGGCTCCCTCTTCCCTTCCTCTAGACTGGCTCATTATCCGGGCAGAGCTCCTGCCTTCTGCAGGCCTCCCCCACAAACCCACAGAGAAAGGCAGTGTCCCCCACTCCGACACAGAGTGTCAGAGAAAAGCCAACCCGTCAGACCCAGGCAGGGCTTGGGGTGTCGCTGTAACGTCGAAATAGGGCTTGCCGGCTCAACAAGTAATCTAAGTTCATGCTTGGGGCCCCAGCAAAGCAAGGCTGCTAAAATATTAGTTTCTGTGAATAATTTTGTACGTAATGTTTTTTGAAGCATCAAAATTTTCACCATGGGAAAAATTAGAACCTTGTGGGACTTCCTTATACTTTCTTCTACAGTTTTCTCTTTGGTTTTTTCAACTCACAAATTGCAGAGACGAGACGATCAAGTGGTGAGGGCTTCTCATACTTTGGGGCAGGCCTGCAGGGGAACTGCTGCACCGCAAGGGAGGCTGGGTGAGGGGGCCCCGGGCCCCAAGCTGTGTTACCTTCTCCATGCGCTCAATCAGCCTGTCCAGCTCCCCGATCCTCTGGTCTTTCTCCTCTAGGCTGATCTCTGCCACTTGCATCTTTTTATTGGCTTCTTCAATGGCTTTCAGAAAACTATTGGTTTCTTCCTGCAAAAGAAATGCACTCTCCTCAGCAGAGCGTGGAGGAGCCTCCAATCAGGGTCCGAACAGCTCAGGCCTGGCTAAATCATCATGTCTCTGTAAAAGCATGACCTGGGGGCCTAGAAGTGTCTCACAGATCATGAACTCAAATCCCATGATTCTGGTTCTCACCCGTGAATAAAGACACATTGCATGGATTTTTAATGGGCCTACTTATTTTTTCTCCTTTTTTTCCCCTTGACTCTTTATGTCTAAAAAGAGCCTACAAATGTTATTTATCCCCTGACTAGGTGCTCAGAGTGTCACACAACCTAAACGGAATTAGGGCTGGATCTGGAATTGAATGCAGGATGCCCAGATCTTTCTCGCATATTGCAAACCACCAACTCAGTCAATCAGTCAGCACATGTATTAAGCCTGTGAGGACACAAGATGAGGCAGAATGGAGTCCCTGCCTTCAAGGAATTTATGCTCTTTTAGAGAAGCCAAGATGCGAGATATACAGCTCAGCTCCAATAAGAGGGACAAGAGAATTCCATGGCAAAGAGCAGAGAAAGTGTGGGTTTCCCAAGGACAGAGGACACTTGCAGGTGTGTGACTGGGAACGACTTCATTCGTGGAGATGCTGGCATCTTCGGGGCTTTCAGGGAGCGTAGGTAGGATCGAGGACGGGCAAGGAAGAGCAAATGGAGTGAGAAAGGGCGTGGCTGCAGGTAAGCCCAGTATCTGCTCGGATGCTGGCAAACGGTCAGACCAGCTAGAGAAAGTGGTGATTGAGGACTATTCCAAGCAGGGAAGGTGGTGAGTAGAGGGAGGGAGGGAGAAGGGAGAGCAGTGAATCGGCAAATAATAAATTCCTTGACCCGTCACCCACGTTAGAGTCCACTAACTCACCTCTAAGCACAAACCCTACCATGTAAAGCTCACCAACAATAATGCACCCCAAACTCTCTGCTATCCCATCAGCAGGTAGCACATAACACACCAGGAGCGCCTCTCTCTCAGCACTGTGCCTCTGCTGCTCTTCGTGCAGCCTTTCTTCGTACTGGCTGTACAGCTTCCTGGTCATCTCTCTCATCACCTCTGCGTTGGCTTCTTGGGAGGATTCCACCTGCAGAGAGACTCAGTTCAGAGCTACAACTCTGGTGGGCTCAGGGGGAATCCACACCTTTCACTCTGTAGGTATCAAGTGTGGACTCACAGGGGCGTGGACCCATGCCCCAGGGCTCTGCAGGAGACAGAGGCAGCAGGAACTAACGGGGAAAGAGGTAGAAGGAAGAAGGAAAAGGGGTGAGCAGGTGCAGAGAAAATTAAAGTGGCCCCTTACACTAATTTACTTGATATTATCTGGAAGAGGTGCTCCACAGGAGTGAATTTTTCAAAGGGCAGAAACGTACCTCTCTAAGTGTCAACCTTGCCCCCCAAATTTAGCCATTTTTAAACTGAATTCTCTAAAATGTATCATGCTCCACTGTCTTATTTACCTCTTTCTTCAATGACTCTTCCTATCTAATGTTCTTTTGCTCCCGAAATTTTATTTATTTATTTTTTTTTTTTTGCGGTACGCAGGCCTCTCACTGCTGTGGCCTCTCCCGCTGCGGAGCACAGGCTCCGGACGCGCAGGCTCAGCGGCCATGGCTCATGGGTCCAGCCACTCCGCGGCACGTGGGATCTTCCCGGACCGGGGCACGAACCCGTGTCCCCTGCATCGGCAGGCGGAATCTCAACCGCTGCGCCGCCAGGGAAGCCCTATCATCTTTTATTCTATCAGTTTTAACAAACCTTTTTCTCTAGTTAATACATCCACACTCTGATTGGCCTCAGAAAGATATGCTTTTTAAATTCTTCAGTATTCTACTGTAGGCTGAAAATAAGACCACTACGTTATTAGAGTTGGGTCAGAGCCCTACAAAATTAAAAAGTAAAAAGGTTTGCTATAGGAGGAAGGAGGGAGTTAAAGAGAAAAGAGGAGATTACAGATATTGATGTTCTATTTCTTTGTTTTGTAGATTTAACTTTGAAACCAAGTAAATAATTTATCTGTTATAAATATTAAAATTTAAACAATTATCTACCAAGATCATTCACTAGGACAAGAACAGACCTTTCAACAAATGGTGCTGGGATGATCGGATCTGTCACATACAAAAAAATGAGGTTAGGGCTTCCCTGGTGGCGCAGTGGTTGGGAGTCCGCCTGCCGATGCAGGGGACACGGGTTCGTGCCCTGGTCCAGGAAGATCCCACATGCCGCGGAGCGGCTGGGCCCATAAGCCATGGCCGCTGAGCCAGCATGTCCGGAGCCTGTGCTCCGCAACGAGAGAGGCCACGACAGTGAGAGGCCCACATAACGCAAAAAAAAAAAAACAAACAAAAAAAAAAACAAAAAAAACAAAAAAAAAATGAGGTTGGATCCCTAATACACCATATACAAAAATTAACTCCAAATGGATTAAAGGCTTAAATGTGAAAGCCAAAACTATAAAACTCTTAGAAGAAAACCATAAGGCAAATCTTTGTGACCTTTGATTAAAATTAGATATGACACCAAAAGCATAACTGATGAAAAAGAGATAAATAAGACTTCATCAATATTCAATATTAAAAACTCCTGTGCTTCAAAAGATAGCATCAAGAAATTGAAAAGATAACACCCAGAGTGGGGGGAAATATCTGTAAATTATTGATCTAATAACTTGTATCTGGAATATATGAAGAATTTTTACAACTCAATAATAAAATATAAATAACCCAATTTTAAAATGGGCAAAGGATCTGATAGACACTCCAGAGAAGATAACCAAATGACCACTAAGCACAAGAAATGATGCTTAACATCATTAGTTATCAGGGAAATGCAAAATTACAATGAGCTTCACACCTACGAGAATGACAATAAAAGAGAGTAACCAGTGTTGGCAAGGATGGGGAGAAACTGGAATCCTCTTACATGGCTGGTAGGAATGTAAAATGGTGCAGGCCACGCACTCTATGTTACCTTTCATATTGGTTGACTTTTCTCCCCAGGTGCATACATTACTTTAAGACATTTTTTAAGTCAGAAAAGCAGGAAGGCCTTTGAAGAGAAGCTGCCCGCATGGAGTTGAAGCCGTCCCATTAGCTGCACTGGCCCATCAGGCTCTAGGAAACACTTAAGCTCATATAAGAAATCTGGACTCATCCTTTCCATACCTTTGTGCTTTTCCAAGTGTTGTGTTTGGAAACATTCCCATCTGGTTTGGGGGACCTTAGCTGGGGGCTCCTGGGGGCTTGCACAGGAGATGAGAAAAAGTAGAGGCGTGGGCAAGCAGGCTTATGTTGGGAGTGGCTGGTGTTTCCTTTCTTCCCTGGCCCTGCCCCCCCCCGTGAACTTCAGGCCATTGATTTTATGCCTCTGAAGGTTTGTTTGCGTCCCTTCCTTCCAGCTTACTGCTTGTTTAAGACAGCTGAGTTAGCTGGGCAAGTGACCTCTGGATAAGTAAGGTGTACTACAACCCGGCTAGGCTACATGACGTTTACTCCAAAGACTGGACAAAAGTCTCTCTCGATGCCCTCTCAATCTCCCCTCTCATCTCTAGGCAAGTTTTGGTACCAAGAAACCACAAAACGGGAAATCCCGAAGAGAGGTTATCATTAGCTGAAAGAGACCCAGCGTGTCCTGCACCCTATCTCCACTTCTAGAATGGGCTCTGTCCCTCACGTCCTGTTTACGCTGCATCCAGGTCACATGAAATACTCTGAGTCCTGTAATTTGGGGGTTGTGGGGTTGGGTAAAGCAAAGCATTAGTCTCTACAACAGGCAATTGCGGACTGGATTTAGAGGTTTGGTCTCCCTGACACCACAGCACCTCTGGAACAGACATGGATGAAGAGCACAGGTGCAGAGAGTAGATACTCAGTACGTATTTGTGGAATGAATGACTGCATAGAGATCCGACATTGAGGAAGAGACTCCAGTCATTTCAGAATTTTTCAGCAACAAAAGCCTTTTTTTCCCAAGTACCTCTTACGCAGAAATACAATATATGAAAAAGTAGAAGAGCCTCCCTGTTTGAAGTGAAAGCAAGGAGGAGCTGATCGACTGGGTAGCTCTCTGGTCCCTCCCCCTTCCCAGGTGGTGGTGTTTGGCCAAGTGGGTGGTGACGGCACAGCCTGTGGGGCGGCCATCACAGAGGCTACACAGTATGGTGGCCTGTACTCCCCATCAGCTGTTCCTGAGGCAGTCCATAGGTGGGGGACCACGTGGCCCAGTTTGTTCCCCTAACTAAATTCTTAATAGCACCTCCTCTCACTCCTGAACATACTCTGGTTTGAGCAATAAATCACATGGGACACTACCCATAACACGCTCTCCCCTAGAATAGACTAAGGCTGTGTCGAACACAATCTGAAAAGCACAGGCTTAAATAAAAACAAATTCATTCGGGAAATAATTTGTTGCGTGACTTCTGTGGGCCATTCGTGGGTCGGTTCCTGGAAGTTTCAAAGCTGGAAGGAGCACTAACATCTCCAGGGCCTTAGAAGCTGAGCTGAGGAATAAGAACGACCTGGGGTGCAGGAGGGACACTGCCCAGAGTCCTTGGTCACCCACCCATTTTCTTCCTAGCGGACCTTCAGCTCTTCATTGTCAAACCAGACAATGAGGCCTTAGAACCTCAGAGGGAATCTAAACAGTGAAGCTTCTGAAGTCCCGGACCTGTGGGCAGCCCAAGTGTCCTCTCAGTACATAAGAGCAGTGCCACGATGAGGTCTCAGTAGCCCTTGAGGCCACTGGGACCAAGGCAGGAGAGCCCAATAGGGGTATATACAGGGTACCCCCAATCTGCACTGGCAGCTGTGAACACAGAAACCCCCTCAGTCCCTTCAAGTCAAATCCTGTGGGGTTGGCCACAAAAAGGGTGCGGAAGCCCAACAGAGAAGAGAAGAGAGAAAGGGAAATGGGAGAGTTGGCGATGGGAGAAGAGAGAAAAGAAGAAGAGAGAAAGGTTAGCAGGAAATCTACATTCCTGTACTTTACCTTCATTTTCAGCAGCTGGTTTTCAACCTGTGCTACCTCTAACTGCCTCTGCTTTTCCCGCAGCTTGTCCATGGAGGCTTCATACGTCTGCTGCAGATTTCTGATTTGAGCCTTAATGTTGCTATTCTCCAAGGTAACATCCACAAGGGTTTTCTGTCAGGATGAAAATAAAAACCAGATCTAGCGGTGTGAGGAAACATGGCCAGAGTCATACACCGGGACATCCCTTTGTCATTAACGGCTGAGGGAGACATCGGCCCACAGGAGCTGCAAGCCTGGGACCCTGGTGTTAGAGCGCCCTGGTGGTCAGGAGGGCTGCCGCCCTGTACCTGGGTGGGCCAGCCAGCTTTCCCCCGTAACATGCCATGGCTGCTGCTAACACCGCTTGCCACTGCTTAGGATGGATGGAAATGGATTAAAACACTTTTCCAAGGAAAAATGTTCGTAATACGTCATTTCACGTGGAAAAAAATTGGGTTTGAAAACAGTAGGTACAGAAGAATCCCATTCTGAAAAAAATAATGCATGAGCATCTGTCCAAATGTATTCAAGCCTAGAAAAAAGAAAAAAAACTAGAAGGAGTCACCAAAATCCAAATAATGATTTTCACTATGGGATAGGATTATAGATGGTATTAATTTTCTTCTTCGTATCTTCTATATTTTCCATATTCCCAAACTGAAATCAGAAAACAAAATACGTGTTTTATAAAATGGAGATATTCCCCTTTTTTCTTAAACAGGTTGTTTACTTCTGTACTTCTAGACGAGCTGCCAGGACAGTGACAACAGGGCTGAGGATCCTGTAATGCCTGCAAATGCTTCACCTCCCTCGCCCAGGCAGAGAAGGGTGGTGATGAAGGGAGGGGCGGGCAGGGAGCCGAGTCTGTGACTCCCACAAGTGCCTGCCAAGTGTCAGAAGCCTGTTGCTTATTGCTCCAGGCTGCCCACTGGAGCAGGAATGCTTAAATTAATATCGTTGCTATTTCATGCTTCAGGTCACTTGCTTAACTCTCCTGACAGAGAAATGGCTTCCACAACCCCAGAATTTCTACCAACGGACACAGGTTTATGGGCACCTTCTACCACCTCCTGAAGTCACCTACAACTTTATATTAGAAGATCTGGAAACTCTGGTGTTGAACACACGTCCTAATACCTGTGTCCTCTTTGTAGATGACCAGTCTCTCAAGCTCCTCCACCCCTTAGCCTCCACTTTGGAGAATAAGCCTCATGCCTAAACCTATTCAAATCAGTAGAAAGGATTGTCAATGGTGGTAAATAGATATTAAAGAAAATACAGAAGCCTCTTGAAAGTTGGAATCACAGAGCATTGGAGACGCAAGGAGCCTTAGAAACCATCTGGCCAACAACCCTCTCTCCAAGTCCCACTGGCTTTACAGAGACCGGTCTTGTGCTCAGAACCTATATCTGGACCAAGAGACCAGGGCTGTAGCCCCGGACTAGCTACACACTTTGTTCAAGTCATTTCTGTTGACCTCCGTTTGTTTATCCATAAAACAAGGGGGTTGGAGATCATCTCAATAGTGCCTTCCAGCTTTGACATTCTATAAAATCAAACCAAGGATCTGGTCTCATCAGTAATAATGAAAATGGGGTAGACTAGACGATGGAAGAAATAAGAAGGCAACTATTTTCAGACTCAGTTGAGTTTCCTGGCCATGAGATGATGTGTTTCTTTCCTCTGCTCCTCCCTCTTCCCCAGCCTCCACCCCCCTCTTTTTTTGTTTTTTTTTAAACAACAGTTTTTAATCTTTTCATTATAAGGCTCCTCTGTCTACCCTGGAATAAGAGACTAGACTGTAACTAGAAATTAGTCAGGGTCCCTGGGTTAGGGGGGACCCTGTTCTCACAGTTGACCTCTGAAGTAAATGCCTGGCATGTCAGTGGTGTGGACAAAAATGCTGCCTGCCGTGCCAGTAAACAATGACTGTTGCCCACCATCAAGTCATCAGCCACCGCAGCCCCCACGACAGTGTGCCCTGAGGGGGATTCAAGATGGAAAAAAGCAGGATACTAGCCCTAGATAGTTAAGATGCAGACCAAAGAAATAATTTCAATGAGCCCAGACTCTTACATCTTCTTATACATAGAAAAGCACTAAAAACATTAACTGAAGATGTCTGGTTTTTTTGTGATTAACGTCATCTTCTGATGTTTGGCTACATTTCTTTTAAGCGAAACTCCTATCTATCCCGGTTCCTCCCTCACCCCTTTGGAGCAGTTCATCAGAGCTGTCCGAGAGGCTGATTTCCAGGCTATAGGCCTCAGTAAGGTCCCCGAATAAAACAGAACTCTGAACTTTTAGGTTGTATGGGGTTTTTTTTTAATCAACAGTGGGGTGGCAAATCAGAAGTATGATGGGGAAGAAAACCCAGATACCAACCAGATCTGAACTCAGGTGAGATACAGCATTTCCTGGTTGGACGGTAGTGAGATGTCTGAGAGGGAAGGAAAGGGAGCCTGGGTGAGCCCCCTTGATAGCAGGAGGAAGGGAAAATAAAGGCTCCTGAATAAACCAGACCCAAAGTAGGGCTTGGCCTGAGGCCAGGGGAAAGCTGCCAGGTACTATGGGAGAGCCAGGAAAAGGGTGGGACTCAGAGGCCCCACCAGAAATGGGCCTCCCAGACAAATCCAAACACGGGGCCCACCCAGGCCCACTGCGTGACCGTGGCCTAGCTTTGCTGTTGGCACTACTGCCCGAACAGCTGTTAGTAGAGAATACTAGATCCTAAGGGAAGTGGATAATCCCAACATGAAAATTTGTTTGCTTATCTAGCGAATTATTTATAGAGAACCAGAAAGGATGTGAAATAGCTTGTGTGAACTTTCAAGAGGAAGGTAAAGAGATAAGAGTCAAATAAAGTTGGAAGGGGACAGACATTATTATTTGCACATTTGGAAACTAAAGCTAAGGGAAGCTGCTTCTGGTGAATATAATGCTTTACTCTGAACATTTTCAAGTTAATTTGCATGTTACGCGGTGGGGGGCGGGGGTCAGTCGGAAGATTAAAAATGGGCAGCATATGAGGGGTTAACTCCTAGCAAATGAAACTAATCAAGAGGAAAAACCCCCTTGACGTGTGGTGACCACACACATTTGCACAAATGTGGGATCCTGACTCTTTTGGCTTCCCTGCCTGGTACTACAAGATATTCTTTGGAAGGCACGTGATTTCTTTCAAAGCAAAATAATTTCTAGGGACTTCCCTGGCGGTCCAGTGGTTAAGACTCCGTGCTTCCAACGCAGGGGGTGCAGGTTCGATCCCTGACTGGGGAACTAAGATCCCACATGCCTCGCGGCCAAACAATAGTAACAATAATAATTTCTAAATTAGGAGAAAGTACCTAACAGCCTCTGGGAGTTACTTGTCATGAATGAACACAGATTTCCTTTGCTTAAGTCTGGCTTTCCTGTGGTTGGTGGAACTTCTCGTAACACTGGGGCTTAAGGGAGTGGGCTGATGTGCTGTTTTAGGCACTGACACTTAGAACCACTTGGGTGTCTAGTGGAACAAGTGACATCTCTAGCACTGAACTCAGTATCTAACCCCCCATTTTAATAAGCGCAAAAACAACTGCAACTCCAAGGTTGAGAGTCTCAGCTTGGAAGCATTTCCATCGGCTTCCTTCCTTCACCGTCTCCCTGGCCTGGCCTCTACTGTGGCTGTGTGTAGAGGATTGCAAATAATGAGCTGAAGACATTCTGTGACTTACTTTTCTACAAAGACACAGGGCCCACCCTTGGCTAAGCTCTCCTGCACTGGAACAGAGGAGACCCAGGCGAATCGGGAGCAGATGAATACCTGCAGGCCGATGGAGTCCGACACCAAAGCCGAGTTCATCGTATTAAAACTGTCCAGGGCTGACGACTGGGTTTGGATGTAATTCTGCTGATAATCCTGCTGAGCCTGTGAAACCTGGACAGATTGAGGAGACAGTTATACACAACCAGTGCACACACACTCATGACAACCTTCAGCTACACACAACCAGTGCACACACACTCATGACAACCTTCAGCTACACACAACCCATGCACACACACTCATGACAACCTTCAGCTACACACAACCCATGCACACACACTCATGACAACCTTCAGTTAGGCTGGAACATTCCCCTGATGGTAGCCACATCTGGGTCAGTGATATTTCAAGTACAGCTTTAAATTAAAAAGTCATCAGCTGCATGACCCAGAGAGTAGAAGGACAAGACTACTTTTCCTTCGGATACTATTCACACATTCCCCCACAGGGCTTCACTTAGTCCTCGCAACACTTTGCGGCAGCCAGAACATTCTCTTTCATACGGAGGAAACAGGATCAGAGAAGTTAAGGGATTTGTATGCAAATAGCTAGGAAGTGTAACAGCTACTTTTAGAACCTAGAATGCAGTTGAATACCTTCTTGTGCCATCTTGCCTTTTTTTTTTTTTTATTTATTTATTTGTTTTTGGCTGCGTTGGGTTTTCGTTGCTGCACGCGGGCTTGCTCTAGTTGCGGCGAGTGGGGGCCACTCTTTGTTGCGGTGCGCGGGCGTCTCATTGCAGTGGCTTCTCTTGTTGCAGAGCACGGGCTCTAGGCACGCGGGCTTCAGTAGTTGTGGCACACAGGCTTAGTTGGTCCGCGGCATGTGGGATCTTCCCGGACCAGGGCTCGAACCCGTGTCGCCTGCAATGGCAGGCGTATTCTCAACCACTGCACCACCAGGCAAGTCCCATCTTGCTTATTTCTACTCACCAAGGAAGGAATATATTTTGGGCTCAACCAGTTCTCAAGAGTTGTTTTGTGGCTGCTGCAGTTGTTGTGCTGTCTTTGTTGGACGTGTATTTAACACGTTTGAGAGAGATTCAACAGAGGCCAGTCTTAAACTAGGCCTTAAAGAAGGGCTGGATATAGAAAGGCCGGGAGAGAACTTCCCTGGCAGTCCAGTGGTTGGGACTCCACTCTCTCACTGCTGAGGGCCCGGGTTCAATCCCTGGTCGGGGAACTAAGATCCCGCGAGCCTCGTAGTGCGGCCAGAAAAAAAAAGGCTGGGAGGCAGTAGAACCAGGGGTAAGGTTTCTGGGAAGGCTCAAGGGTAGACCCCGTGTGGCCTGTGGGAGCCACAGGAAGCAGCCAGGCATGAGAGAGTGAGAGGTGCACCCTTGGGAGTGGGAGAGAGAGCTGAAACAGCAGCCCAGGCCCAGGAGGTACGTTGCTGCTCACGGTGTGTTCATACAGCAGTAAGTTAGCATCTCAACCTGGCTACAGTCCATCGTGTGGCCTGGAGGAGGAGGAGACTGAGGGTAGAGACTGAGCTCCTGGAACAGTCTAGCATGAGAAAACAGGGTGTGTAGGAGGTGGCAATGGAAAGCAAGGGGCAGAGATCTGTTTTTGCATCTATTGCAAATCCAATCCTTTGGCTTTAATTACAGTCATTAGTGTCAGTGGATGGCAGAGTGAATTTCCATAGGTATGTGAGAATTTCACAAATCTCTTCCTACGTGTCAGTGAGCATGGGCTAGGTGGATACGTTTGTATATCCCCCTCCGCTGTAATCAAGGCAGTAGGTCTTACTTAAGCAGCTAATTTCACAGACCAGACATAAACTAGACTCATACACAACTGTGGCAACTGTGCTTCTTTCCTGCAGATGTTAACTTTATTTTTTTGAATTTTATTTATTCGTTTTTTATAAGTAGGTTCTTATTAGTTATCTATTTTATACATATTAGTGTATACATGTCAATCCCAATCTCCCAATTCATCACACCATCACCCTCCCCCCTGACGCTTTCCCTCCTTGGTGTCCATACGTTTGTTCTCTACATCTGTGTCTCTATTTATGCCTTGCAAACCAGTTCATCTGTACCATTTTTCTAGATTCCACATATATGTTAATATACAATATTTTTCTCTTTCTGACTTACTTCACTCTGTATGACAGGCTCTAGGTCCATCCACGTCTCTACAAATGACCCAATTTCATTGGTTTTTATGGCTGAGTAATATTCCATTGTATATATGTACCACATCTTCTTTATCCATTCGTCTGTCGATGGGCATTTAGGTTGCTTCCATGACCTGGCTATTGTAAATAGTGCTGCAACGAACATTGGGGTGCATGTGTCTTTTTGAATTATGGTTTCCTCTGGGTATATGCCCAGTAGTGGGATGACTGGGTCATATGGTGGTTCCATTTTTTGATTGGGTTGTTTGTTTTTTTAATATTGAGCTTCATGAGCTGTTTATATATTTCAGAGATTAATCCTTTGTCCGTTGATTTGTTTGCAAATATTTCCTCTCATTCTGAGGGTTGTCTTTTTGTCTTGTTCATAGTTTCCTTTGCTGTGCAAAAGCTTTTAAGTTTCATTAGGTCCCATTTGTTTATTTTTGTTTTTATTTCCATTTCTCTAGAAGGTGGGTCAAAAAAGATCTTGCTGTGATTTATGTCAAAGAGTGTTCTTCCTATGTTTCCTTCTAAGAGTTTTATAGTGTCCAGTCTTACATTTAGGTCTTTAATCCATTTTGAGTTTATTTTTGTGTATGGTGTTAGGGAGTGTTCTAATTTCATTCTTTTACATGTAGCTGTCCAGTTTTCCCAGCACCACTTATTGAAGAGGCTGTCTTCTCTCCATTGAATATCCTTGCCTCCTTTGTCATAGATTAGTTGACCATAGGTGTGTGGGTGTATCTCTGGGCTTTCTATCCTGTGCCACTGATCTATATTTCTGTTTTCTGCAGATGTTAACTTTTATGGCAAGTATGTCACACAAAACGAATTTTTTTTCTTCAAGGTTATTAATCACAAATATTTTTTAAAATGTTTTCTCCCGTATGCGTTAGCTAGGTTAAACCAGAGGAAGCTTATTTTTTCTTTAATTTTTAGTAGGTAATACATTCATAGAGTTCAAACATTTTAAAAGTAGAAAAGGTATACACTAAAATAAATCTCCCCTTCACTCCTGTCCTATTTGCTCAATTACCACCTCGCCCACTCTGCACCTCAAGAAGGAATCACTGTTAATTACTTTCTTGATGATCCTTCTAGTAACTTTGTGTACACACACAAGACAGTCTAGATATATTTATTTTCCCCTCCTGGTTTACATAAATGGTAGCACACTACATATGATATTTTCGTATTTTCCGATGTCTTGCTTTTTTTTACCACTTACTCTATATCTTTGAAATTTTTCTGTATCTCTTTTTGAAGAGCTTATTCATTCTTTTCATTCTTTTTTTTTTTTTTTACAACTCTGTGTATTATAGAGATGGAATTTATTTTACTTTCTCCTTCTTAATGGACATGTAGGCTTCCAATCTTTTTACTATAACAAACAATGCTTAACAACTAAGTTCATATATACGTCATCTCACATATGTGAGATTTGATCCACAGAATAAATTCTTAGAAAGAAGCTTGCTGAGTCAAAGGATGTAGGCATTTGTAATTTGGGTAGATACTGCAAATTGTCCTCCCTAAGAGTAATGCAAACGACATTCTAAGCAGCAATCTTCCTGTTCCTCCACAGCACGGCTAATACAGCATCTTGTCCCACTTTTGCAGTTTTGCCAGTCTGTTAGGTGAAAATAGCATCTCAGGACCATTTTAATCTGAATTTCTCTTATTGAGAATGAGGCCAAGCATCTCGTCATACATTCAAGAGCTCTTCATCTTTCCTTTACTATAAACTATCTGTACAAATATTTCGCCTATTTTTATGAGTTGTGGCCTTTTTCCTCTTGATTCATGGGCGCTCTTTAAATACTCAGGATATTAGCCTATTATCTATAATATGAAGGCAAATCATTTTTCCCAGCTTGTCATTTGACTTTGGTGTTTTTGTCAGCACTAGTCGTCAGTTTAATGCAGTCAAAATTATCAACTTTTCCTTTTGTGATTTTGGGACTGCATGTCATAGTAAGAAACTGCCTTCCCCCCCCCCCAAGAGTATAAAAGAATTCACACATATTTTCTTCTGGCACTTGCAAGTTTCACTTTTTAGCATCTTTGATCTATTCAGAATTTACCCAGGTATAAGTCTGTCCAGGTATAAGCATATACTGACTGGTCCATTTTCCTCCCTTCATTTCAGATGCCACATTTATCATATATTGGGGTACATTTCTGGGCTTTTTCTCATTGATGTCTATTCATTTATGTGCCAGTACTATATACTGTTTTAATCACTGAGGCTTTCTCAATTTCTTGTAATATTAAGAGGGATAGTCTCCTTCATGGCCTTTTTTTCCCCAGAATTTCAACTCTTCATATTTATTTTCTGTATACCATGGAACCACCTAGCCCAGTTGTAAAAAGCAACATAAAAATCTGTTGGTATTTTTATTGGGTTATATTAAATTTGTATATTAACTTGAATGGTATTAACATCTTATGATGTTGAATCTTCCTTTCTAAGTACATGGCATATCTTTCTACTTGCCAAAGTCTACTTCCAGATACCTGGTAGTTTTTGTTGTTGTTATTTCCTCTAACTGGTTGTTTTTTGTATATTGAAACCTAACATGTGTCCATTAATCTTTTACCCTGCTGCCTTACAGAATTCTTTTATTGTTTATAGTAGTTTTTTTATTGGTTCACTTCAGCTTTCTGGGTATATTACCATACAGTTTGTAAACAGTGATAGTTTTACACCTACCTGTCCAGTTTTTAAACCTCTATAAACTGTTTATTTATTTCTCTCATGTTTAATTTATTTCTCGTTTAATTCCATTGGTTAGGGTCTCCAGTACAATGTTAAATAATAGTAGTGGTAGCCGCCTTCCTCATCTTATTCCTGATTTTGGAGGGAATGCTTTGAATGTAAAGATTACTCTCGCCACAAAAATTTTCCTGTAAATAATAAACTTAATTCTGTGATAAAATTCCCTCGGTTCATTTAAAATATGACTCCATCATAAGGAACATCATAAACTCAAATATCTTCAGGCACTAGCAACTGAGAGGGAGTTCTAAGCTCTAGCATCCCTCCACATTTTACTTACTGACAATTCCTGGGTGAGCTGTCGAATCTTCTGTCTCATTTCATCGTAGTCTCCATACATTCGCTTCCTTACATTTTCCAAAGTGGCTCTTACCTGCAGCCCACAAAGATGCTAGTTAGAGATCAAGCTATAATAATAATAATAAATGCATATTGTGATTATATATAATTATTGATAACTATTAATTATACAAATAACATGCTCTAAAGAAAGATTCGTTTACTGAAATTCACCTACCACCCTAAAAACCATATTCAGGCCAGATTTTCCCCTTTTCCTATCACATGTTTTTACAAGTAGAAAATGTTGAACAAGTTGACTTTCTAAACACATGGCTAGGAGGACCAAAAAACCAAAAAGCAAAAGCCACCTCTAATTTTCCCTATCTCTGCCCTGAACAAATATCTCTATTCCCTATCTCTGCCAAAGAACAAATAAATGTTTGGAATATGAGTCAGGAAAGTATGAGCTTAGAGAGCCCGTAAATGTGAAATTCAGTTCCTCAGTAATCACCAACGATACACAAGGCACTAAATATAAGAAAAGTCAGTTGATCCCCCAAACACCTGTTTATATAAACTCTTTCAATTTCTCTACAGTACCACTCTTCCAGAGGAGTAACGGGGCCTTAAATATATTTTCAATAAAAACAAAAAACCTAACAAATAGTCTCTGTCTTCCCCCTTCTTCTGGTGCCCCTAGGAGGATGAAGAACTCAGGGATCTTCGAATAGAACAGGAAGCCTCAAGGGAGCGCTCTCCAGAATGCTCTGGAACTTCTATCACGGGAAAGGCTCAAAGGCAGCAGTTTGGTTTGACGGGTGTGTAGGGCACAGCACGAGCGGACCTAATTTTGAAGCTGTACTTGCACAACTAGCACGTTGTTTTAAACTGACTGACTGCATGTTTATTAGGAGTGACTGGATATTGGTGGAGAGTCCAGGGCAGGAAAGAGAGGGCAAGTCAAGACACCACGCCCTCCCCAGATGAATTCTAGTAAGAAAGACTGCTTTCTTGTCATTGACTACAAACACTTTGGGGAAATGAGCCAAAAGCGCAACTTTTCATTCTGGGCAGGCAGAATGGCTCTCATCTGCGGCCCTGAGTTAGCTCTTGGGCTGCTCACCATTGGGAAGTGGGTGGAGCTGGGTGTTGCTCCCACTGGCAAATACTGCAGGAAGCCAACTAAGCCAGAGTCACCCACAAGCAAGGGAGGGCACACAAACCCATAAATACACTCAGGAATGAGGAGCGAGTGACAGGTCTGAAACCAGCTATAGAAGGTGTTTACCCGGAAATTAATTTTAAGTTGCAGATCACAGTGGCGGTTGGGAAATTCAGGTCAGTTACTCCCCTGTGACCTGGGCACCTGACAGCCTGAACCTACTATCTCATCTTGGGCAATCTGCAACTCTCCAATCTGCTTAGGAGGTTTACCTCTGAAGTGGTGCCGTGTTATTTGGGGCATTTCAGAGAGGAAAATACAGGAAACTAGGAAGGTGCAAGCTGTTCCCACCTGGGAAGATGAGGAATGGGATACTGTGAATGGTTAAAACTGATCTTTGGGGGTTGGATGACTGGGGCTCTGGTGGTCGTCACACATCTTCTGCATGTCTGTGTATGAGTAGGGCTCCTTTTCTTCATTTTCTCTGCTAAGCATGTATTGTCTCTTTTATTCCTTAAAATTATACAAGTATCCAAATCTTTTGAGACACATTAAGAAATGCACATTTATTATTTTTGATATTTGAGAAGAGATGTTCTTCTCAAAAACTCAAACAAAAGCCGACAACATGTGTTTTGTGTCTTATTCGCAAACACAACCAAATAAAATGAGGCACGAAGAACTCGTTTTGACCTGAAGGGTCCCTTCCCAGACCTCACAATCTATACATGAGAAAACTGAAGCCCAGACAGGGCAGAAGTTTGTCTGGGCCAAAGAGCCAGACCTTGAACCAAGATCCATGGGGACCCTATTGCCACGCTGCCCCTGCTTCTCACTTTCTAGTCTACAGGCCAGTGTTTTGGTGCAGCTCACTGCCTCTCTATCTAATCACTCTGGTTTGGGTCACAAAGGCACTGGTCAATCTAGGGAGACACGGGGTGGACCAAAAAGGAATGGAAATGATGGATGGATGGATGGAGGGAGGGACAGGTAGGTAAGTCGACAGATATAGATAGATAGATAAAAAAGAAATGAAAAATTTACAAGGAAATGTTCCAAAATGTTAACAACTTTTCTGGTTGGATCGTAGAATTACGGGTGATTTTCTTTTCTTCTTCATACATGTTTACATTTTCCAAAATTTCTCAATAGACCATATAGTTTAAAAGAAACGTAATATTCAGTCCCTGGTCAGGGAACTAAGATCCTGCAAGCCGTGCAGCATGGCAAAAAAAAAAAAAAAAAGTAATATTAATTACAAAAAAATTGTATTAATTGACCTGGGTTGGACAATGTCTATCGTGGTTGACTTCCCACCATCCATTTCAACCTAACTGACTGGTCTGAACCAGCAATAGTCATCCTATTCCCCTTGCCAGTGATGGATTTGGGAACGGGCATGTGACCTGGGTCCTGGCCAATGAGAAACAAGAGGAAGTCTAATGGAGAGTCTCTATAAAGTAACCAGAGATGACTGTCCTCTTTTCCTCCTCCAGACACCATCATATTTTTAGATGTTGCCATGAGCAAGAGGCTGAAGGAGAAAAGAACCAAGGGAAACTCAGAGAAGTAGAACTGGAGCTTGGAGAGGCCTGCTTAGAGCCCACCTACCCCTAGAGTTACCCCCACATGAGACAAATTCCTTTTCAGGTTGGCTTTTCCGTTACTTGCAGCAAAAAGCATCCAAATTAATACAGTTGTCCAAACTCGTACATTAGGAGTGTTCAATGTAATAAGCAAAACTACTTAAGAGCCTACTTATCATACATGGAAGAAAGAAGCCATTTGGTCTCCTGAGTATCCCCCTACTTAGTAACATCTAGAAATTCACTCTATACCTCACTGCAGAGTTACATCTGCGCTTTTCCTATTACCATGAAGATCTGTGGCCACATTTCCATCCACAATGATAACACTTAGAATTGTTTCAAAATGCCTTATTACATTCATATCCACCCTCTTACATGCTACAAGAAGTGTATAAACCAGAAAAAAAAAAATCCTTAAACAACTCACGTCTTTGATGTAGTTCATCTCTTCTTTCAGCTGATTGGTGGTCCACCCATACACCACCATTTCTTTCTGCTGGTTTTGATCTGATCTTCGTACCACACCATAGACGACACCCTGAGGGAGTTTCATGGTGGGTTCGCCATTACTCAGGTCACGATACTAAAAGAGGATAGAAAGAGAGAAAGAATAATGACTCTTTAGGCCTCGTAGAGACAGCTGTCATCGTGGGCCCACTGTATATGGTCATGCAGGTTGTACCCAGCACTAGGGGGCCTGGCAGTGGGGAGAACGGCCAGTAGAAATCCAGCCTGGTCTCTGCTTGCCAAGTCACACCTGGCGTGGGCTGAGCCTGCCTTTACCCTCGAGGAATAGCACCTTTCCCTAATTTCTACCAAAGCTCTGTTCCTTTACCTTGTAGTACATATGCCAGGCCCCATCTTCCCAGAGAAGGTGCCTTTATTTAATTCTCACAAAGGCGCTGGGCGGACTTACGCCATCCCTGATAACAAGAGTGTCTAAAATCTCGCATTCTTGGTAATACTGTTTTTCTCTTTATACCAGTTCCTCTGTATGACTTCGTCCTCATCATTAACTGTGTGGCCTGAAATGCATGAGGTTGAGATACGCAAGGGAAGAATTTTGGCAGCCATCTGGCAGCCAGATTGTCCTCTGAGGTTAGGGCTGACCCTGGAGCCAGTTCCGAGGAAAGAGGGTAGGGACACCTGTTGTGACCATTCATGAAATATTTCTGGAAAGCCAGGCAGAGGTGGCATAACTTCACCCCAAAAGAGTCTTCTGCTCCTTAACTCACTCAGTTAAAGCTCTGCTCAGTGCTAAAGTGCAAATACCTTTGGGAAGTGGGGAACATGTCCAAGTCCTAACACATCTTCACAGACTGAAGGCTCAAGAAGCAGGAGGAAGAGAAACTAAGATTTGTTGAGCATTTCTATAAGCTAGAAATGTTCCTTATACATTTAATCTTCACAACGACACCATGACATGGTGAATGTCCTCTCCACTTTATAGCTGAGAAAACTGAAGTTCAGAGAGGTTAAGTCTCTCCCTTATGGTCACACATCTAGATTCAAGCCCAATTCTGTGTGACACTAAGTACACCTTCCCACAGTGCAGGCTTTGTTACATGTAGAGGCACAGAGTAGGCCTTCACAATATGGAAGGGAAGGGACAGGAAAAACTCAAGATGAGACAGTGAGACTTCAGAGAAAAACCAGCCTACATCTAAATCTTCCTTGGGACAATACCACAGAAGGCTGAATTCCATTATGGCAACTCTGTTCTTTCACTAATTTTAAAACCACCTTTGCGGGCTTCCCTGGTGGCGCAGTGGTTGAGAGTCCACCTGCCGATGCGGGGGACACAGGTTCGTGCCCCGGTCTGGGAAGATCCCACATGCCGCGGAGCGGCTGGGCCCGTGAGCCATGGCTGCTGAGCCTGTGCGTCCGGAGCCTGTGCTCTGCAATGGGAGAGGCCACAACAGTGAGAGGCCCACGTACCCGCAGAAAAAAAAAAAAAAAAAAAAAAACACCTTTGCATAAATTCTTTCTATGCACTTGCGAAACATCTTTGACATATAAAACTATAATTTGCATTTTAAAATCATTCATTTGCAGCAGAATAGTAAGTACTTTATATTCCCATTCAGTCAAAGTTTGTAAAAGTAAAGCAAAGTTACCGGACAAATTATTAATCATTAACGACCTCTAAGGAGGGGACAGTGGGGAGGGGCAGGGATGCTGGAGGAGAGGATGACTTCAATTTTTTCTTTATACCCTTGTGTATAGTTTGTTTACAATGTGAGCTTTTTTTAAAAAAATTAAGAAAACAAAACAGCCATTGCTTCCCACTCTTCTGTTCAAACCTGTTAAGAGAGAAAATATGAGGAGTGGGACACTCTGCATTTGCTTCTGGAAAATGCTTTCACTTGAGCCCCTCATACCTGGGTCCCACGGGCACTGAGGCAACTCTTGAAGTTGGTACCTAAGTTTAGGTGAGCGGGGGGTTAAATGGCTCTCAGTGGAGTGCAAAGCTGGGATTAGATATCCCTGCTTTACTACACATTTAATTAGGAAGAGGAAAAGCTCTAATGAAACTCCCCACATACCAGGAAACAAAAGCGTGCTCTTTCTGTCACCAACTCCACCCAGTTCCTGAAAAACAAGCTGATGTCGGCAGGTGGACTGGCTTACAGGAAAATGCTCAGGTGGCCGGATACAGAGGACTCTGCCTCCCTGCCCACGCAGGGAGATGAGGTCCATCACTGACGGAGGCAAATACAAACATGCCAAGGACAACACAGTCTGTGAAACACCACCCTGGAGGTCGTGGATCTGAAAATTATGCACATGGAAAGATACCAAAGTTCTGTTAAGTAAAAAAGAGTAGATTTCATATTCCCATTTTTTTGTTTTAGAAGTGTGTGTTTGAGTATATAAAACACCTAGAAAGATGGACTCCACACCATTAATGATAGTTTCCTCAGTGAAAAAGGGGATTTCACTCTTCCCTTTATGCTCTTCTGTATTCTATTTTTTAACTAGTTTGAAATAACAGGCATTATATTTGAATTGATCATTTTTATTTTAATTTTCAAAACATGAAAACTAAAAAATTGTTACAAGGTCAGGGTCTAAATGACAGACCCACAGGGAAGGGCCCAGCACAGGACCCTGCTCAGAGGCAGGGCCACCAGCATGGGCTGTCCCACAAGCACAGGATTCCTGAGGCAGCACGAGGAGCTGCTGGGCTGTGATGCGGAAAGGGAACGGATGGTTATGGAGAAAGAGAAGGGGAAAATATTTGTTGCCTAGCCATTTTATTATACAATATTTAATCCTCACAGTAACCCTACTGTGTAAACATTACTCTTTCTTCCAAGGTGGTAGCATTCAAGTGCCTGTGCATGTCTTTCCAAATCTAGGCCCTTTCCTTAACCAGAAAGCCTTCAGGATAGCTAAGAGGAGAGGAATTGGAACACACATGTCCCTGCGGCCCACAGACCTCAGGGCTGCGGGAGCCAAGAGCCGGGCCCTCAGGTCCAGGGCCATTGGGAGGAGACGGGCCGGGATGGGAGGCTCTTCTCCAGCCTCCTGGCATCCATCTCCCTGGCCCCCACCCCCTCCTCTCTGTTCCTTTATCAGCCAACCTCCTTCTTTTTTTTTTTTTTGTGGTACGCGGGCCTCTCACTGTTGTGGCCTCTCCCGTTGCGGAGCACAGGCTCTGGACGCGCAGGCTCAGCGGCCATGGCTCATGGGCCCAGCTGCTCCGCGGCACGTGGGATCTTCCCGGACCGGGGCACGAACCCGTGTCCCCTGCATCGGCAGGCGGATTCTCAACCACTGCACCACCAGGGAAGCCCAGCCAACCTCCTTCTTGCCTCAGGCATTTACACAGGCTATTCCCTCTGCCTGCAGAGCCCACCGCTGAGCTGAAACGTCCTTCCCTCAAGGTCATCTGCACTGACCCTTCAGACCGTCAGGGCGCCACAACACTTCCCACAGTCGCAACGGGGTGACTATCAGCATCGTTACTATATGTGAGGCCTGCTCCCCTACCAACTAGAAGTTCCCCAAAGTCTAAAGTCTTGTTTGTCTTTTCCACCATAATCCCTGGCATCTAACAGTGATCACCACTTAAGGAGTTTCCCAGTGAATATTTGCTGAATGAATAGGGAGCTTTAGAAGCTGGAAGAGGTTCTGGGGAATTACCCAGAATATGTAAATATGGTCCCCTGAAGAGAACATCCTTTGCTCCTCTTAGATGAAGGGACAGGGAGATGATATTTGTCCCAATCATAAAATCTATATCCAGAAAATATTGCAAAGGAGCTGAGACTGCTATCATTTTTATGAAAGGTCAGTATGATTTTGGTCAAAAACTGGAGGACCCAGAAGAAAATGAAAAGAGCTGACACGTTTGGCACTGTGTTTGTAGCTAAATTTTTCTCCTCTCGTGTCCTTTACTCTCCCCATAAGATAAATGTTAATTTTTAGGCATGATAATAGCATTATGATTATATTAAGAGATAATCTTTATCTTTTAGAGAAATATGCTTAAACTATTTACGATATCTGGGATACAGGGTGGAGGAAGTGGACAGGGGTGGAGACGGGGCAGGACTGACTATGGGCTGAGGGTCGTCAGCTGGGGGAAGGGTCCATTATTCTCCTTTTGTTTATGTTTGAAATTCTCCATAATTAAAAGTTTTTAACACTTCTTTATAATGCTGCTCTGTATTAATAAAAATCACATTTTCAAAAATGTACACTAGGCCTATGAAAAGGCTCCTGGGCATGAAACAACAGGAGGTAAAATCGCCTTGCAAACAAAAGCCCTAATAAATGCACCGAATGAAAAAGTTATCGCCGAAGAAGGGAAAAGGAAACAATCAGCTGAAAGAGCATCCCAAACCCCTCGGTGCAATGCCGCAGAATTAACAACAGGAACCATCAGTCAACTATACAGAGAATGTCTCCGTGAAACTGTTCCCTGGGATGTATGCACAGCTTAATACTTACATTACAGGCTCATGCCATGGCTGTTTTCCCTAAAGACACACTTGGTGGCAAGTGCCTTAGAAAAGAAAAACTATAGAAAAGTAACCCAGCCTCAACTCCTGCTGCAAGGGTTTTACTGCTGGGGGAGAGCTGGGGTACGAATCCAGTGACAGATGACCATATTTTCCAAACCCTAAGTCAGAATATAGGATCTTACAATGAGATAAGCTCTATAGAGGCAGTGACTGTATCTGCCGTAGTCACCGCTATATCCCCGACGCTTAGTATAAATAGATGCTCGATAAGTCCATTTTGAAGGCAAGAAGAGAGAGAGAATATTTGGAACTGTGCTTAGGCCAGAATATTTGGAGTGTGTGGTCATCCTAGACACTGATCTGTGCAAAGGAAGGAAATCCCATGGTCAAGAAGGGTTCTTAGAGAATAATACCAGAAAGCACAATTTTCCAAAAATCCAAATTGATGGTGGTAGAACGCCACAGTCAGCCCCTGACCCCAGAGGCTAGGACAGGCAGCTGGTCACACGTCCAGCTGCCAATATGACTTAGATGGACCGTAACATGGATTGACTGACTTGAAAGCTATAAGCCAAGTTATTTCCAAAACTTTTTGTTTGGGACCTCTTCC